ATTCACCAGTGAAACCATCTGGGTCTAGTGCTTTCCTTTTTGGAGAGTTACTAATTATCAGTTCCTTAAGAGGGATAGCCCTATTCAGATTATATTTCTCCTTGTGTGAGTTTTGGTAGTTTGTGTCTTTCAAGAAATTTGTCTGTATCATCTGAGTTATTAAATTTGTGAATATGGGCTGCCCATAGCATTTCTTTATTATCCTTGTCATGTCCATGGGGCCAGTAGTAATAACCGCTCCATTTCTTATTATAGTAATTTATATTTTCTCTCTTTTTTCTTGTTTAGCGTGACTAGAGGCTTATCAATTTCATTGATCCAAAGAACCATTATTGTTTGCATTGACTTTCTATTATTATTAACTTCTGCTCTAATTTTTCTTTCCTTCTACTTTCTGTAGGCTTAAAACTCTCTTCTTTTCTACTGTCCTAAGGTAGGAAATTGTTTATTGATTTTAGATCTTCTTTTCTGTTATGTGCATTTAATACTGTAAGTTTCCCTTTGGCATTTCTTTGGCCACATTCCGCAAATTTTGATGCTATGTTTTCATCTTTATTTAGTTCAAAATATTTAACTTCTTTGGAAATTTCTTCTTTGATCCATGTGTTATTTAGAAGTGTGTTGTTTAGTTTCCAAATAATTTCAGCTATCATATTGTTATTTATTTTTAGTTTCATTCCACTATGGTCTGAGAACATACTTTGTACAGTTTCTGTTCTTTTACATTTGTTAAGGTATGTTTTACAGCCCAGAAGGTGATTTATCTCAGGGACTTGTTAGGTATGAGTTTGAGAAGACAGTTTATTCCTCTGTTTTTGGATGGAATTCAAGTTGATTGATGGTATTGTTCAGATCAACTATATTCTTACTGATTTTTCTGCCTGCCTAATCTATACTGAAAAAGGGGTGGTAAACTCCCCAATTACAACACTGGATTCATCCACTTCTCCTTCAAGTTCTACTTTTTTAACCTCATGTATTTTGACACTATGTTGTTGGGCATGCACACATTTAGGATTATAAATCTTCTTAGAGAACTGTTATTTTATTATATAAATGTATCAGTTTTATTATATAAATGTATCTGATAATTTTCCTTGTTTCTGAAGTCTGCTTTGTCTGAGTTAATTTCCACTGATGTTAGCATGGTGTACCCTTCCTTATCTCTGTGAGCCTCTATATTTAAAATTAGTTTCTTGCAGGTAGGTCTTATTTATTATTCACTCTCACAATGTCTTTTAGTTGGTGTATTTAAATCTCTCGTATGTAGGTGATTGTGACATAATTAGATTAATATTTGCTATGCTTATCACTTTTTTTTTATTTGTTGTTATTGTTCATTGTCTTGACTCCCTCCTTTTCTGGCTTTTCCGATTTAATTGAGCATTTTATATCATTACATTTTATTTCTTCTCTTAATATATCAATTATAGTTTTCAATTCCTTCATCCCTTTGCTTATGACATTACTGTCATTCATTTTCACTTATTCATATTCTATTACACAACAGATTGTTTTTATAGTTACATTAGAGAAAATATCTTTAAGATTAAGAATAAGAAAAATAAGAGATCTTATTTTATCTTCATTTGTTCCTTCTCTGATGCTCTTCTTGTTGGTCCAGATTTTTTTTTTAATCTAGATTTTTTTTTTATCTAGATCGTTTTTTATCTAGATCATTGTTTTCTCCCTGAATGAACTTCTTTTAATATTTCTATCAAACCACGTCTGCTCACAAAGAATTCCCTCAACTTTTGTTTTTCTCATTAAGCTATATAACAGTATTAATAATATCCCATAGAACAATATTAATAATTCCTGAAAACAGTTTAAATTTTTGGCATATTCGCTTCTTTTTCCTCCCATGTAAAATAGTTTTGCATTTCCTGAATGTTACAGGCAAGAAATCACATGGTATACCTTCTCCCTCTTGATCATCATTTAGTTGTTTTTTTGTGTGCGTGTAATTTAAAACTTATGAATCATTTATTTCTGGAATTTTCCATTTAGTTTTTTTTAACTGCAATTGACCATAGGTAACTGAAACTACAGAAAGCAAAACTGTGGATGGGGGGGCGAGGGCTGCCATATGAACAAAATGTAATCTTTCCATACAATGGGATATTATTCAGCAATGAAGAGGAATGAAGTACTGATATGTGATTTGGGTGAACCTTGCACATATGCTAACCGAAAGAAGCCAGACACACTATGTCACATATTGTATAATTTCCTTTATATGTAATGCCTAATATGGGCAAAACTATTGACTCGGAAAGTTGATCAGTGGCTTCCTCATCATTTCGTTTTAATTCTGCAAGTAATTACACTATATTAAATACCCCCAGTCCTGATGTTGATGTCTTTCCAGTCCTTCGGGTTGTTGAAGTCCGTTCTCTCGTAGACTCCTCAGGAAGAGCTCATGGGAGCAATAGTCTCTGAATCCTTCCATATTGGAAACTGTTTGCCCACACCCTTGTTTGTGTTATGTAACTTTCTCCCCACTAAGAAGTATGAAAGAGTCGTGGGCCTCCAAACTGGGATCGGCCCAAAGAATGACTCATATAAATCCAGTTTGATGAGTAAAATGAGTTTAATAGGAGTGGACAATTATGGAGGACTGCATTCACCTGAAGTCACCCTGCCTACCAAGCCCATATTTTATTGGCTATAAGACTATCGCAGAAACCTTAACTTAAAGTGCCATCTTGTGTCAAAATAGCAGAAGTAACTACAGGCTCAAAAAATACAAAACCAGACTCTGGGAAAGTTACCTGTTTATGCATCCTCTGCCCTTGCCCTTATCAGGGATTCTGCTGATCTTGGCAAACAGAGTGATTGTTTTGCTGTAATCTGGTACATAGGACAGCTAAATGGTGACTTGCTGGAAGAGGACAAATCCTGGCTAAGATTCAGAGGACTAGTCTCACTACACCTTGAAAGAAAGTTATGCTGCATTACAAATTCTTGGTTCAAAACTTATCACAGCCATCAAAATCTAAAACCTTTGTGTCACACGCCTGTAATCTCAGCACTCCAGAGTCAGAGGCCAGAGGATTGCTAGCTAGAGTCGAGTGTGGGCTACATAATGAGAGATCTGTTTAAAAACTTAAAAACAAATAAATCTAAAATCTTCAATGCTCGTGTAGTGGTGCACATCTGTAATCCCAGCACTTAGGAAGTTGAAGCAGGAGGATGGTGAGTTCCAAGTCAGCCTGGCCAACATAGTGAGAATTTGTCTCAAAAAAAAAAAAAAAACTAAAGAAAAATTTTAAAAAACCAAAAAAAAAAAAAAAAAGGCAAACAACAAAAATCCTTCGTTCACATTTTCTTTCCTTGAGTATCTTAAATACATTGTTCCAGTTTCTTCTGACATAAAGCATTGCTCCTAAAAAGCAATGATAATCTAATGTTTTCTTCTAATAAGTCTCACTTGTTTTTTTTTCTATATGACTAACGAAATGTTTTCATTTTCTTTGAAGGCAGTGATGTTCTAGAATTTATCTTCATGTTGGGTCATTCTGGGCTAGCATCCTTAGTATTCCATTTGCTCTTTCAATACACAGTATCAAATATATGATTTGGGGAAAGTTTTTTTAATGATAGTTTTTAGGATTTGTTGTGATCCTTTTCTTTCCTTCTTCAGAGACCCCTACTGTAAGCCGTTTACTGGTGGAACCTGGGTGACAGAAGCCATAAAAGATGAGGGGACTACTGAGTCCTGCTCAATAGCCACTTTAATGAACCATACTACTGCTTTTATAAACTCCTTTTTTCAGAGAGCATTTGGTCAGAAAAAGTATGCCAAGAATTACATGTCAAGGTTACATTAGTACAGGGAAGCACAGTTAAAATTAATTCTTTGTTATGTCTCCTTTAAAATGGGAATAGGGAAGCAGAAGCACACGGTCAGCATAACTTTCCTATTTACATCTGAAGGACATGAAGCCATCTGGGAACCTTGAATATTGTTTTTCTGGATGTCTGGCTTTCTCACAAGGCCAGATACCAACTCACACAGGCACAGTCTGGTTCTGAGGCCTTTGCCTCAGTTCCTTGGAGCTTTCTCACAAGGCCAGATACCAACTCATATAGGCAAGGTCCCACTGCTGGCTCTGACACCAGTAATAGCTGTAGTTCTTATTGTTTGCATAGGGCTAGGAAATTTTTTTTAGGGAGACAAAAACCCCATGAGCTATATATACAACTTAACTTTAAAATTGCATGGCTGTTACTTTATTTTACTTATAATTTTCCATATTTTCTTTTACACTAGAAAAACTTAGTTCTTAATGACATTAAAATAGTTTTTTTACTTGCTTTATCCTACTATTTACACATCAAAGTTTTGAAATAACAATGTTGTTATTCCTTATGGTTCTTATTTCTTTATGGTTTTGGTTTTGTCCTTAGGCTATATCTCAGAAGGGATGAATAACCAGTGAGTTGTATTTTAAGTCACTTGAAATAGCTTTTTATGTGTGTTTATGTTTCCACCAACTTGATAAGTAGTTAGGTTCCTTTGCTTCAGTGACTTTCAGCTTCTATAAATTGCTTTATAAAAATTTTTTATTTTTGCAGTAGTGGGGTTTGAACTCAGGGCCTATACCTTGCGCCATTCCACCAGCCTCTTTTGTGATGGATTTGTGATGCCACGTCTTAGGGAAAGATCACCTTGTCAAAGCTGTGACAGGAATAACATTCCCCAACTCTCAAGGTGCATGCTTACTCAGGTGGGGGGTAGCATGGGACAACGAACAGAGGCATGCTTCCATTTACTATCTGTGTGTGCTCGGGCAGGTTTCTTAACCTCTCGGAGACTCCGTTTTCTTCTGTGAAAAATAAGAAAGATAGTATCCAGTTCACAGGGCTGTTTGGAGGCTTCCATGAGTGGCCTAGGTAAAGTTCCTGATACCTGGTGCCAATACTATATAATGGAACTCAACAAATAACAGCTACTAGCATTTGTATTACCTGGTCATTTCCTTTTTTGTCCACAGGAAATCTGTGAGAACCCCCGATTTATCATCGGTGGAGCCAATAGGACCGACATCTGCCAAGGAGATCTAGGTAGGAAAGGTTTCCCCTCCATATCCTGTCAGATAATCCAGAGGTAATTCTAGGAGGTAAAAGTACAAAATCTGTTTTTGTCGTTAATGCATTTGGAAGCTCTTTTTGGAAGCTTTTTAGAGAGATTGTTTGATGCTCATTGACCTATATGCTAGTGATGGCTTTGCATCCTCCCATTAGTGCTTTGCCTAGTGTCACAGGAAGCATGCCACATGCTACTCCCTCTCTTATAGTCTCAAAGACACCAACACATGTCACTCAGCATGACCAAATCCCTGCTTTCAATTGCAACTGTCTTTCTTAGATAGACAGATAGCTCTGTGACTGTCCGTGGCCCTTGATCATGGAGACTCTAGATCCACACACCAAATGCATTACTGAAAGAGTACTTTGTAAGTAGAACTCTGGCTTAAGTTGCTCCACAACAGCTCCATCTTAGGGTCTTTCAACAGAGATAACATTTGCCTTGTGGAGGAGCATCCAAGTTTCTGTTTTCTCGTTCCCTTGGCTGTTCTACCAGACTTTCCTGTCTCTTGTCCTCTGGTTCAGGAGGCATTGTTCTTTGCATGGTCTGCAGATGAGCTCTGCAGATGAGTAAAATTGGCAAGAACATCAACAGACACAGTTTAAAACTTGAGGAAAAGGTCTTTCACCAAGACCAACTGAAAAGCTTAGGCTTACTTGACTCCAAGAGAGGCTGAGAAGATACTGAATGTCTGGCTTCCTGCACCTGAGGGAAGGCTGTGCAGACCTGGGCAAACTAGTACTCTGGACTCTTCAAACCAGCACACTGCTCCCAAGGACAGACTTGCTGCTCCAGAGGAAGGGAGAGGGAGGCCTGGCCTTGGGCACTTCCAGCCATGCTCTCCTCTACACATTCAATATGGCAGTTAATAAGGCATGTCTGGGACTATAAGTGTACTAGGTATGTTCCCTGGGTGTTCACACACACACCACACACACACACACACACACACACGAGTGTTACCTCCACTATATGCAGTACTTTGTCAGAAAGGAAGTCCAGGAAATAAGAAAATGACCTCATTTCATTCCATTGCCAGCGATGGTTTGGTGCCCCCTGTAGACTGGTTCCAGGGCAGCTGCTAATCAACCTTCCTTAAGACACAAATCTGCTTAGTTGGTGGTTCTCTGACTCTCAGTCTTCACTAAAGTCAAGAAAAAATGAACTCTTGTCACAAAAGTACAGGGCAGGGCGAATTTTCTGCAGGTGTTAGAACAACCCAGGTAAGATTGCCTACCACTCTGTTTCCATTGAAGCCCAAGAAGAGCGTGAGTTTCTTTTGCTAAAAGAGGAATTGTCCACAGCATTTAGGAAAGTGTCCAATTCCCAGGGAACGGGGTACCCTGTTGATCATATCGTCGAGAGATTCCTGTCAGAATCTCCTTGCCTGGGCTGACACGTGTGTAAGGCCAGGCCAAATACAGGTCAGTGAAGCGAATCCCCATTCTTCAGGGATGTGGAGCAGCTGGCTAGGGTTGTTGGGTTTTCTCTTGCCTGGTGGGATAGATCTCACCTGAAACGTGGGCCATGTCTTTGCCTACAGGGGACTGCTGGTTTCTCGCAGCTATTGCCTGCCTGACCCTGAACGAGCACCTTCTTTTCCGAGTCATACCCCATGATCAAAGTTTCACTGAAAACTACGCGGGGATCTTCCACTTCCAGGTGAGTTACTGAAAGTGCAGTGAAGAGGGTTAGTCCACCCACCACTGATCTCTGGCCCTTGACTTCCAAGCAGCTCCAGAAAGGATTCCACCCACCCTCCCCAGCAGCGACAGTGGGCAGCAACCCCCTCAATGCTGCATGCCTGTGAGGAAGCAGTTGTTTATCTCTGCCCCACTAACCCCACATACCTTCCGCTATGCCCCAGAAAGGCAGGAAGACATCCTGTTTGCTGGCCTGTGAGTTATTTTTGTCTTCCAGCTGGCTGACTGCTGTGTTACTGCCTGTAACCCTCCTGTGAAGGTTCCTAAGGCATTAGCAGTGGAAAGCTAGAGCGTCCTTAGGTTTGTCCAGGAACCCCTGGTCCATGAACTGCAGCTCCTTTTACTTCTTACACCTTAAGGCAGGTCTACACCACATCCAGCACTCACCTCTTCTAGGCCCTGAAAGAAAACTTTGGTAATATAGGTATCATGCTTCTGGTTTGGCCCAGAACTGAATGTCTTGGTTCTAGAATCAGTTTAGCCAGTGGAAAATTTTGGGGTCCAACTCATTTTGGCATACCGCTACATCCTGGTACTGGACCAGAACTAAAAATGAAATTCTGCATGTGGGGATCTGGTACTTTGTGGGGTCCTGAGGAGTCTCTCCACCTCCAGTTCTGAAGGCTTCTAACGTCCAGGGGTGACTCAAGCCATCATTTGACGGTACACCCACTGGCCATCTGCCTCAGGCTTCGCAAAGGGGCCATTTGCGAGTTCAGGCTCAACATCATGCTGTCTGCAGGACATGGACAAGGCAGTCCTGAACTGTATCTCTTCTCTGTGATGCCACACTGCTAGCTGTCCTCTCAAATTCAGTCTGATATCTAAAGGTCCATAGATGCAACGTCCAAACAGTTGTCTTCCTTCTCTCAATGAGGAGGAAAGCATGGAGGGGGAGATTAAAGTACTTTTGACCTTTAGTTCAAACTGTTTTTTTTTCCAGAAAAAAAATCCAGCAATGAAATGATTAATCAATGTTCCTGCTATAACCAGAGTGTATTCCTGGGTCACACTTTTCCTCTTCCATTTCAATCCTTCTTGATTGTCATCAAGAAATACATGAGTTTCTAGGTATGGTGGCATACACCTGTAAGCCCAGCTACTTGAGAAGTAGATGTAGGAGGATCTTGTTCCAAGGTCAGTCCCAACAAAGTTAGTGAGAGACTCTATCTAAAAAAACAAAAGAACTGAAGGGTAAGGCTCAAATGGTATAGCACTTGCTTAGCAAACATAAGACCCTGAGTTGAATCCCAGTGCCACAAAGAAAGAGAAAGAGAGAGAAAAAGTTGAAGGAGGGAAGGAAGGAAGGAAGGAAGGAAAAGATAAAAAGAAAAAAAAGAATTCCATAAATCAACAACAGTTTCACTTATACCAGCATTCTCAGTCCTGGCTGTCCGGTAGAATTACTTGGGATAACCTAAAAATACTGATATTCAGATCCTGTTTGAGACCTCCTGGACAGGTCAATGAAAATCTCACATCCTAAGATATTATTCATGGGGCCCCTACTGGGTGCAGGACTGGGCTGAACTCTGTGGAAGAGACTAAATGTTTGTAAATCACCTCATGTTCTCAATAAGCTCACAGTGCAGTTAGAGATGGATTCACATACCTCAAACCCAGAATAGGACGCACCAGATGCAGGGCCTTAGAAATGGTACTACTTTGGGATCAGAGTCCCCATATGAATGCAGGTAAGGACAAATTTCCTAATGAAAATCTGAGGATGTGACTGTGCCTCATGCATCTTGCAGTTCTGGCGCTATGGAGACTGGGTGGACGTGGTTATTGATGACTGTCTGCCAACATACAACAATCAACTGGTTTTCACCAAGTCCAACCACCGCAATGAGTTCTGGAGTGCTCTGCTGGAGAAGGCTTATGCTAAGTAAGGCAATGCTTTAGAATGTGAGGCAGGACTCCAAGTGGGGAAGTGGATGGCAAATCCACTCACAGCAGAAGAGTGTGTGTGTGTGTGTGTGTGTGTGTGTGTGTACATGCTCTTGTGGATTGTAGGAGTTCAACTGTGACCCAGGGTGACAGGAGATCAGGACCAGGCAGCAGCAGCTCTAACCAAAAACAATAAGTTTAAGAGAAGAAACAAACATTTGTGCAAGAAATTTTAGTTTCCATAGTGAGCTTAATTCTGCCTTCTTGGCGATTTTGCAAGTCTTGGATCAGATCATTGTACCTCTGGAACTCAGATCCCAGATCTTGCTTGGCTCAAACTCATGAGCTTATAGCATACTTATTAAAGCCATGTGTCTCTCAACTTAGAAGCTCTACCCCAGCTCTAGGCTTTGATACAACCCTAGCTCAGGGTTCAGCATATAGTGGAAAGAGAGCCATCAGGAAGTGGGAATAGCTGGGTTCCAGTGCCAGTACTTCTGGGTCTCTGTGGCCTTGAGTGGTCACTTAGCCTCAAGTTCAGCTTTGTTGCTATGAAGAAAGAGACTCACAGTAACCAACTCATTGGCTCACAGTGTTGATAAGGAATTGATGAGACAACACCATGGGACCTAAGAGTGAAGTTTGGGGGTCAATGGTACTTGGTCATGTTTCTTGGAACTCTGTGACTCCCAGATTGGTCTTTGTCTTCTCTCCAAGGCTCCATGGTTCCTATGAAGCCCTGAAAGGTGGAAATACAACAGAGGCCATGGAGGATTTCACAGGAGGGGTGACAGAGTTTTTTGAGATCAAGGATGCTCCCAGAGACATGTACAAGATCATGAAGAAAGCCATCGAAAGAGGCTCTCTCATGGGCTGCTCCATTGATGTAAGTCTTGAGTGTGGGGTACAGACAGGAATAATGCCTTTCACTGAATCAGTGGCAGCATAGAATTTTCTTCAGGGACAGGGTGATTGGGTTTTTGTTGTTGTTGCTTTGTTGGCTTTTTCTTTTTTTTAAATGTGTTCTTTTAAGAAGCAGCAACTGCCTATAATCCCAGCACTTGGAAGGCTGAGGCAGGATGATTGTGTGAGTTCAAGGTCAGCCTGGGCAATGTAGCAAAACACTGGAGGGAGGGGAGAGAGAGAGAGAGGAGGCAGAGAAAAAGAAGAAAGAAAAAGAAAAAAAAGAAAGAAAGAAAGAAAAAGAAACCTGATTCTTGACTTAAAAAATTGGCAATTTTTCAAGGGAGAGTTGTTTCTGGAGATTTCCCCCCCCCAAAAAAAAGAGATTGGGGAAGAATATTCTAAGCCCTGGAATTTACGTGGAATAGGTTCAGAGACCTATGTCAGTGGGGGCCTCTCTTCTCTCTTGCCTGGGCTGCACAATCTAACTATGCCCTGGTAAACTGGCCAGTACTTGCTTATAGACCTGAGTCTACCCGTTCCCTAAAAAGCCTCACCGTCACTGAGCTTTGGCCACATCACCTGCTTAGTTCATGGGCTTCGTGTTCTCCGAAGCGCAGCCTGCAGACCCCTCTCGGTGCAGCAAGGTGATGGGAACTGAGTCAGAAGCCAAAGGTGAGCAGATGTCTGAACATGGCCAGGCCACCTAAGTTCCAGGAGATGCACCTTCCCTGAGGGCTGCTCAATGTAGAGTAGTCTTGGTAATTTCCATTTCAGAAAAAGGGATCCAGCTAATTTCTGCCCCTTTCTCTCCCAACACTCCTAAGAATAGGAAGGCTTGGAAGGCTCATTGGCAGAAAACACCAAGAATGAATATTTTCTTTTGATATCACTTTTCTTCATCTTTTCTCCATTCATGCTCTGTTGATCTCTCTTCTTTTCTTTTGTCTGTCCCCTCCCCTCTTTGATCTCCTTCTCCTCCCACCCTTCTTCATTTGCTCTCTCTCCTGGGTTGGGCCCTACACTCCCGGTCGGGCCTCAGGATGGCACGAACATGACCTATGGAACCTCTCCTGGTCTGAACATGGGGGAATTGATTGCACGGATGGTGAGGCACATGGATAACTCGCTGCTCAGGGACTCAGACCTCGACCCCAGAGGCTCAGATGACAGACCTTCCCGGGTGTGTACACCTCCAATAGTCCAGACCGACTGTCCCTACAACCTGCATGACCCCGCCCTACTGGTGTCAGACTCCCCCCAGCACCAGTGCAAACAGCAAATCCTGTCCCCTTTGTTTACCAGTCTACTGAAAAAAGCCTCTCCCCACATAGGGCTCACGTTCTACTGCTTTCAGAAGGTATACATGCTTGCTGACGAACATTAGGCCGTACAGAACACAGAAGAAAAGCTAACCTGTATTTTCCCCATCTGAAAATAACCACTCAACATTTGGTTGCACAATCTAACTATGCCCTGGTAAACTGGCCAGTACTTGCTTATAGACCTGAGTCTACCAGTTCCCTAAAAATCCTCACCGTCACTGAGCTTTGGCCACATCACCTGCTTAGTTTTTTAGATTTTTCTATGCATACACTTAATCTATATTTTTATGTTAAAAGCTTATCATACTGCCATACCAGTTTGCAGCTTGCTTTTTCAAATATATATATTCAAACTGGGGTTTGAATTCAGGTCCTCACATTTGCTAAGCAGGCACTCTACCATTTGAGCCACTTCACTAGCCCCAATTTTATATTCTTAATATGCTAATAGGTACTCTGTAACACTTTTTAGTAGCTTCACAATACTCCACATGCAGGTATGTTATAATTTACTTATCCAATACTCTACTCTTGGAAAGGGTTTTATTTTGGCTGTTATTCAAAAATGCTACAATGGCCATCTCAAGAAATACATCTTTGTGTACATTTATGACAATTTCCATAGGGCAGATTCCCAGTAGAACTGCTAGGTCATAGCAGTGATATGCTTATGTAATGTTATTTGAAACGTTTTCAATAAATTTTTTATAACAAAATATGAAATAACTTTTCATAATAAAATAACTTATGAACAGTTATTTCAAGTATGTAGACATGAAGACAAACAGGTTTCCTTCCCTGCCCCTTTCTATTTAGCATGGTTTGGGTCATGTGAGGACTGAGATCTGGAAGAGGATGAGATGCCAAAAGCCCAGGCCCCACTTATACCCATCACCCAAAAAAGGTTTTAGGAATTTCACAGCCCCACACAGTTCCAGGAGGTTCCCCTAAAGCTGTTGTGTTACTAGGCCAGCTGATGCCTGTACAGCCTTTTTAGTGCTTGCCGGGCTTTGGAGATCTTGCTTGTTTGTCAAGAGTCCCTTGTGACTACCTACAACTTGGAGCATCTACACCTACACTCTTAGACACAGTCATGTCTAAGCAAGGATCTCCTCAGAATTCCCTCCCTGGGTGCTGTGACTCTTGGTTTGTGGAATATCATGGGTGTGAAGGAGGTAAATGATGTAAACAGAAAAGTATGAACCTATAGGTTTCATTGAACCTTTTTTCTCAATCACTTAGTCAACCTTGGCTCAGGCAAAGAGGGAACCCAAAGTCCAGGGCAGTCCCCAGTAATCCCCCTTCTCCTTTGAAGGGATCCAGAAAGGGGCCCCTTCAAAGAGGCCTTCCACTCACCCATCTCACATCCCAGAAGCCACCTTGCCCTCTGGTGGCCAGGGCAGAACCATCTCAGCATGAGTGGCTAGTCTGGAGCTGTGTCTTCTTGATGCTCTTGAATTGTGCTGGTCACCAGGCACACTTTCAGGGAACAGAGTAGTTCTTGTCCCCACAGAACCCAGAAAACAAACAACCATGAATGTTGTTCCCGACTCCTGACAGGCCACCTACTTTTTTGTTCCACAGACAATTGTTCCAGTTCAGTATGAAACAAGAATGGCTTGTGGGCTGGTCAAAGGTCACGCCTACTCTGTCACTGGGCTGGAGGAGGTGAGCCTGCTGGGGTTTGGCTGGGCCTGGGGACCTACCTGTATAGACCTCCTTAAGTCAGGACTTGGTTTTCTGGGCCCCTTCACCAACTACAGAGCTTGTCTCCAGTGAGAGGATCCCACTCAAGGTCCAAGCCAAGCACCTGGGTGTGGAGGCCCTGTGGGAGTTGGTGGACTTGTGGCCACAGATGGTGCTTAGGTTATTATCTTGGTTTTTTTTTTTTTTTTTTGGTGCTGGGGACCGAACTCAGGGCCTTGCACTTGCCAGGCAAGCGCTCTTCCACTGAGCTAAATCCCCACCCCTTATCTTGGTTTTTAATGCCAATGGTGATAGTTTTCTCAGTGCTTCCAAGGAAAATTAGAAACACCTCTTTTGGGTTCGTGTATTATCATGCATTCCATCTTCTCATGTTCAAATGGTGACAGTGCTGTGCTCCTTCTGGAACATCTGAGTTTTCCTGGGTCATGTCAGAGGCAGGAACCTTGCCAGGTCTATCACACACAGTTGGGGCAGGCTGTGCCCTGAACAAAGGGATGGACAGAGAAGGGTTGTTATCCACATCTGCCCATTCCAGCACAAGCTGAAGGAAGAGGACATTTTTCTACATTGGTCCATCTAGAGGGGCATTTGTCCATAGTTCCTCAGACAGCAGGGGACTTTTAAAAATTCACACAAAGACACCTAACGTGCTAGCAGGGCACTACTGAACTCTCCTTTTCCCTCAAGGCTCTCAATGGCAAGGAAAATCACTTCATAGAAGATACAAGATGACCAGGCCCTAACTTCTTTGTTCTTTTTCTTTCTTTCTTTCTTTTCTTTTTTTTTTGTGATGCTGGAGGTCAGACACATGCTGGGCGAGCGCTCTACCAACTGGCCTACACCCTAACCCCAACTCCTTCTGACTCAGTCCTGAGGTTCTGACTCCTCACCCTGAGATTCGACAGCAAGCTTCTTGCTCAAGGCCAGGCAGGACATCCCCTAACACAGATTCTCTCCCCATCCCCAGTCCTCAGGGAAAGACAGAAATTTCCCTTTCCAGACAGGCTCCAGAGTATGAGAGCCTTTTCTCTTTGCCCAAGGCCCTGTTCAAAGGTGAGAAAGTGAGGCTGGTGCGACTGCGGAATCCCTGGGGCCAGGTGGAGTGGAATGGCTCCTGGAGTGACAGGTAGGTGAGGAGACCCATGGTTGTGGGAGTGGGGCATGACAGGACTTTGGACAAGGCTGGGTTGGGAACTGAGCCATGAGAGTTTAACAAATGCTTGGTACAAAATCACCCTCAAAACCAATGACCTGGTGTGGGGTGGGGTGTGTAGGGCCCAGTTTACACCAAGCTGCCCAGGCCAGCTAGGATGCAGTTTCCTTGGCCCCAGTTCTAGACTCCAAGCGAGGCAGGCTCTGCCCTGGAACTAAAACTGTGCAGACTTTTTATACACCAAGATTATTTTTCAACTAGACCATTCAAAACTATCACAGTTGTGTTGGAAATGTTTTTTTCTTTTTCCTCATTAAAACACAGGCTCTTAGGCTTTTTCATGTGAGTCTTGAGCATAACCTGTACATAAATCCATGTATAGGGGTGCAGTGCTGTGGCCCGTCATCACCTTTGAGCATCAACTGTCCAGGGTGGTGCTGAGAAGCAGTGCCCTGTTGAGCAGCTCTGCCACCACCACCACCACCACCACCAGGACTTGTAACGTGCACAGTAAACTGCTGTCTCTCACACACACACACACAAAACAATGACCTGTTGAGGATGTAGGATGTAGCTCAATGGCAGAGGGCTTGCCTAGCCTGTACAACGACTTGGGTTAAATCCCCAGCAGCACAAAAACATATAAGCAAATGAAATAAGAACAACAACAAGAAAGATATGTCCTGCAAAGGAGAAGAAAGGTACAGGGGTGGGCTGGGAGTGGGACCAAGGGAGCCAGAGACCTAGGAAGGTCGCTGATGGACATAGGCTGGAAGGGAAGATTCCAGAAGGCTTTGACTAGGCCTAGGCAGTAGCAGTATTAAGAGAAGTGACTTTTCTTGGTGTCTTTGTTGCTTTATCTGTAAAATAGGAACAGTATTATCTCCTTGGAGCTGTTAGGAGGAGAAATGTGACAGTTTTTGAAAAGTGCTTAGATTTGCTGAGAGTTGCTTTCCCTCACTGTCCTCAAACAAAGGCACAATGGCCTTTCAAAGACTTATAACTGAAAGGAACAGACTGATAGACCGTGCTGGGCATGGTGGTGCCTGCCTGTAATCCTAGCTACTTGGAAGATCAAGGTAGGAGGATTGTGAATTTGAAGCCAGCCTGGACTACATAATGAGACCCTGTCTCTAAAAAAATGGGGGGGGAGGGCAGATTAGATTTGGGGCAACAAACATGGAGAAATTCTTATGAAGGTTAAAGAGCATTTATAATGGCTCTGCACTCAGTCATTGTTTCCTGTTGCCTTTACTGAATGGCAGGCTGCCACCTGAGCTCCTCCTTTATTCCTAGGAGGGGACAGCAGGGCTTAGTGGAGAAGGCCCACACCCAGGCCCTGTGTGGGCCTGTTCTTTGCACCTCTTCATACTCCTTAGCCCAGTGCAGGGTAATCACTTGCTCTTTCAGTCATGTGTTCACTTAACAAGTGTTTATCGAGCACCTGCTAAATCAGAGGCACAGGTCTAGGCCTGGGGATGTTCTGTGAGCAAGAAACCTAGAAAACTGAATCTGACTTTGTGTGCTTCCTGCTTCCTGTGACATTCCTTCACTTATCCATGTGCTGAATCCTTCCTTCCTCAATGCTACGGGTCAGGCCCTATGCTACTTACTGGGCAGGGTTGTAGAAATGAACACAGAGACACAGGCCTGGCCCTTGTGGATTTAAGGTCCAGTTGGAAGGACAAATACACACTAATAATTGAGATTAAGGGTGTGCTTAGGGTTATAAAGAAGCAACTCCCCAACTACTTTGATTGGAATGGGGAAAGTGGACTGGTTGGAAGGAGTGATGCACCAACTGGGCTCTGCTCTGAGAAGGCCCTCGGTGCCCCATCATGTCTACTCCACCTGCCCAAGTCACTCCCAGAGACCCTTGCTGTGTTCTCCAGCCTCCGCTTGTTGTCCTTCTGTGATACACTTCTGCTGACTCCATCATTGCAGTGGAGCCCATCATGACTCCACTCATGGCCTCCAGGCTACATGCCAACCTACTGGTCTCAAGAATCTCCACTTCCCCTCCAGCACTTCCTTACTCCAAGTACTTCCTGAACCCAATTTAGCTTAATTCATTAATTCTTAATTAAATACAAATGTGCTCCATTTCTTCCCTCTTTCGAGAAAGTGTGTGAAAACTGGCCAGCCTTAGAAACACAAAGCCAGGCTTTGTGTTTTTTCTTAGTAACTCAGATGGTTTCTATTATATGATGAACACTTGCTAATGGCCTGCAGGCATTTGCTCATCAGAGCTCTGTGAGTAGATGATGTAATTGTTTCCCTTTGCAGTTGAGAAAATAGAACCTGACAAGGCCAAGTGACTTGCCCAAGGTTACATAGCTAATCTGTTATTATAGGAGAATCCCAGCTTGTCTATTTGCAGAGTTCAGCTCTTAACCTTCAAAGTGTGAGGAGGAGAGAAGACTCAGCTAGACAAGGCTCAAACTCTTGTACACTCACTTAAAGAGTTAAACCTTGAGGGTGGTAGGAAGCAATTATGGACTTTTTCACTGAGGATAAAGGGTCAGATCCACATTTTGATGACTCACACTGGTTGCAGTTTGGATACGGGTTACTTAACTTTGTATTTCTCCGACACCTACTGTCCCAACTGACATCAGGCCTTCTCTTCTTCCTCCTTCCATAATCCCTCCGTTTTCCCACCAGCTGGAAAGACTGGAGCTTTGTGGACAAAGATGAGAAGGCCCGTCTGCAGCACCAGGTCACTGAGGATGGAGAGTTCTGGTGAGTCCAGGACTCAAAAAGACCTAAAAGTTTAAAGGACAAGGGGCTGTCAGGTTCCAACTTTGGGAGAGTGAGGCCCTGTTCTCCTTTAGCCAGAGACCTGAAAGGATGAGGTTCTGAGAAGAGATGGTCATAGTGTGATGACTGAGCTCAGGACCAGACCAATGTGACGCAGCCCTGCTTGCTCCCTGGCCCTAGCACAGCTGCCCTGTGAGCTTAGGTAGCTCTTCTTACCCTGATGTCCCAGTGCCATCCCTACCTTTGTCATATCATGTCTGCTTAGCCTTCAAGTTTCCGCTTAAAGGGAGCTCCCCCAGGACCCCATTGGTTCCCTCAGGACCAGATTCATTTACTTGTGATGCTTGTAATCCTTAAGATTGCTCTTTCCCAAATGACGCCTCTTTCCCCTGTGCCTAGAACTGTGCCTGGTGCACTGTGGTGAGCTACACAATAACTTTTTGGAGAATTGAATTTCTGTCCCTTTCTCTCATCAGAGACATGAGCAAGTCATTACTGGAAGACTTGATGAAGGTTTGGGGTAAATACATCAGAACTGACAGTATTTACCCTAAAAAAGAAAGTCAGAATCCTCTGGGACCTTGACCAAGTTCCTCTAAACTAATATATTATGATATGTGGGCTGGAGGTGTGGCTCAGGCACCTGCTTTGCAAGCACAAAGCCCTGAGTTCAAACCCCAGTCCTACCACCAAAAAAAAAAAAAACCAAAAAAACCCAACTAATTTATGTGCTATGTTAGCCAGCGAGTCTTATTTCCCAGGCCTCTCCCCACCTTCTCCCATGTGGGTTTTCTCTTCTTTCATCCTCTCAGGATGTCATATGATGATTTCATCTACCACTTCACAAAGCTGGAGATCTGCAACCTCACAGCCGATGCCCTGGAGTCTGATAAGCTTCAGACCTGGACAGTGTCCGTGAACGAGGGCCGCTGGGTGAGAGGCTGCTCCGCCGGAGGCTGCCGCAACTTTCCAGGTGGGAGATACTCTTGAAGGGGCAAAGGGTCCAAACAGAGCATGTTCCAGATAGAAAAATATTAATAGTCATTTAGTGAGTCTCTACTAAGTTCCAGACATCAATTGTCTTATTAAACCCATCCCACTTTACTGAAAAGGAAATTGTCTTGCTGAGCTTACTACAATGGGGAGCTGGAGCAATGTTTAAACAGGAAACTGTCAGAATGATACTATGTCAGGCAATTTGAGAGGAGCACTGAAGAACCAATTTAGCAGCTACTGCAGTAGTTTGAGTCAGAGATGCTGAAATCCTAGGCCAAGTCAGTAGCTGAAGAGACAGAGGGGAGAAGGCAGACTTAGGGGAGAGTATACTGGGTTTTGTGGGAAGGAAAAATGAAGAATCGTGTCAAGATTTCAGTGACATCTGAGTGTATGGTGTCAACATTGCAAAAAAAAAAAGAAGTGTGTTATTTTTCCTGAGGGCTGGTTGTGGGGTTATAGAGAAAGACTTTATTTTTGGACATCTAAAGTTTGAGGTACCTGTTGAATATCCAGGTAAAGACTGGTAATAGAGAATTGGATGCACATATTAGAATGGTATTTGGTTATATGATTAAAAACTCTTAAGTATTTGAGGAAGGAAAAAAAGTAAGGAAGCTGTAATCCAGCTACTTGGGAGACTGAGATCAGGAAGATCAAAAGCCTGCCTAGAAAAAAATGTTAAAGAGACCCCATCTCCAAAATAACCAGAGTAAAATGGACTGGAGGAGTGGTTCAAGTGGTAGAGCACCTGCTTTGCAAGTGTGAGGCCCTGAGTTCAAACCTCGGTCCCACCAAAAAAAAAAAGAAGGGAAGAAGTGATTCAGAAGAGAGACTGAGTTAGGATATGTAACTCAGGGGCCATCGCTATGAAGGGGTCAGTTAAAAAGTGGAAGAGGGGGCCTGGGTTCCATCCCTGGTACTGCCCCCCAAAAAAATTGGAAGTGAGTTAAGATGTATAAGGAGACAGGATAGGTATGGCAAGAGAAGAGGCATAGACCAGATCCTGGTTTATGGGGTGGGTGAAGATAGATAGATAGACAGACAGACAGAGAGGTGAATATGGATGAGAGGACATTTATTAGGAAGACTGGTTCACATGATTATGGAGGCTAAGAAGTCCCATGACAGGCTCTCTGCAAGCTACAGACCCTTGGATCAGTAAGCATGGGCCCAGCCCAAGTCCATAGGCGTCAGGACAAGGGAAGCTGATGGTGTAATTTTCAGTCCAAGACTAAAACCCAGAGAACCAAACCCACTGTGTAAGTCCTGGAGTCCAAAGGCCAGAGAGGCTGGGGTTAGGATGTCCAAGGGCAGAAGAGTGTCCCAACTCTAGGAAAGAGAAAGGAAATTCTTTCTTTGCCTTTTTGGTCAATCTGCTTCCCAGCTGATCGGATGGTGCCTGGCAAAATGAACAGTGGATCTTTCCCACTCACTCCTCGTATTCACAGGCCAAACTTCTCTGGAAACACCCTCACAGACACATTTAAAAAATAATGGCGTACTAGCTAAGTATTCCTTAGTCCAGTCCAGCTGACGATTGGGGGATAGAGGAGACTAGGTTCCCTCTGTCTCATTTTCCTTCCTGTCCTTTTCTGAGTGGCAGATCTGAAAGTGTATTTCCTTTCTGGGGGGCACAGATACTTTCTGGACCAACCCGCAGTACCGTCTGAAGCTTCTGGAGGAAGACGATGACCCTGATGACTCTGAGGTGATTTGCAGCTTCCTGGTGGCTCTGATGCAGAAGAACCGGCGGAAGGACCGGAAGTTGGGAGCCAACCTCTTCACCATTGGCTTCGCCATCTATGAGGTATACAGTCCCTGACAAGCACCAGCCCAGGAAACACACAGCCTCCCAATGAGGAGGATTGGGGAGCTTCCAAAAGGGTCCTCTGACTTCTCCCAAACTCTGTGACCCCAGAGCTCCTGCATCAGACCCTCTGATTTTTCACTTGTTGTTACTTGTTTGTAACAAGTGAAAAATACCAGCAGGTGCAGCGGAGTGGGGCTGGAGCTGGCACAGGGGGCAAGGGGAGTCATAGTCTGCATCCAGTTGCTGACAGACATCCTCATTCAGATCTGAGGCATCTTTTATCTGTTTCTCCTCCAGGTTCCCAAAGAGGTATAGCAGTGGCAGTGGCCAGCAGTGCTGTGCAGCACTTCCTGGGTGTCCTGTGTCTGTGGCTCACCAAGAAGCTTGCTGGTGGGGTTTGTGGGCAGGGCTAGGACAGGAGAGGGTCCTGCCTGCCTTATTTCAACTGCAGAGCAGGTGCCTCAGGCTACTGCACCCTTGCCGTGTGTATTTTGTCCCTCCCTTCAGACACTCACATGGCTTCACACACCCACATGCTCACAGGCAATCACACCCTCACACAGTGACACAGCATGTTCTGAGGGTAGCTGCCCCGGGGAGGGAGGAATCGCCTCCTTCAGAATCCAGTCAAGGTCCCTCCACCTCTTTGGGGTCCTTCTCTGCCTGAGGGAATTTGGAGCAAATGAGCAGCAATTCTGGTAAGTGGCCTTGTGTGTAGGAATGATAGACTTGACCTTCACTTCTGAGTCACAACAAGGAAGAGGCAGCGAGGTGGGGAGTCAGTGATGCTGAGCTACTTGAGGCCGTGGGCATTGGAAGTAGGTAGGTTGAGATTGTGGAATGGGTGACCAGAGTTGGGAAGGAACCTCTGGAAGAGTCTATGAGCAGGACAGGGCAGCCCCTCCAAGGGGGACACAGTTCCTATGGGCTCTTCTGTCCCCTAGATGCATGGAAACAAGCAGCACCTGCAAAAGGACTTCTTCCTGTACAATGCCTCCAAGGCCAGGAGCAAAACTTACATCAACATGCGGGAGGTGTCCCAGCGCTTCCGCCTGCCTCCCAGCGAGTATGTCATTGTGCCCTCCACCTACGAGCCCCACCAGGAAGGGGAATTCATCCTCCGGGTCTTCTCCGAAAAGAGAAATCTCTCTGAGTGAGTACCAGCCTGGCTTCTCCCACCTGTCCCTAAAAGCTCACGTGGACCATTCCAGAGATTGGAGGCAGCTGGTGCAATTTCCTTCCGAGTTCCTGGGATATGTTGGCCAGCCTCTGTCTCTCGCCTACTCCTCGGCCAATGCCACATCTCCCTAATTCGTGCATTCATCCTGCAAACATTTATTAGGCACCTACCATGTGCCAGGTACTCTTCTAGGCACTGGGAATAGAGAAGTAAATGGTAGAAATTCCTGTCATCATGGAGCTTAACGCTCTAGGGTGAGACAACCATGGGCAGGGAAAAGTACATTCTGGAGTATGTTACATTTGGAGAAGGGATGTGGAGTACAAATAAAGTAGGAAAGAGATATAAGACGTCCCAGAAATTAGCACAGCAAGGGAAGCGAGTAAGGCCACATCCTGCCCTTGACCCCCACGGATGTGTTGATGGGCCCCGGGCTCTGATCTCTGACCCTGGAAACAGGGCAAGGTCTGTGGGCAGGTGGCCTGGTCATGTCTTTGGGCAGCACCAACGAGACTGTGCCTGGGCCTGGCTGTTCAGGAATGGTTCCTACAAGGGACTGGTTCCTGGGGTAGATGTTTAAGTCCAGGGGTTTTCTCAGTCCCAATGTGGCCACTAAGCAGCCATGTGACTTGAGCAAGTCCTCCATATGCTTCCTGCTTGTTTCTGGTGACACTGAGGCACTCCGTTTGTGCTTTTCGCAGGGAAGTTGAAAATACAATCTCTGTGGATCGGCCAGTGGTGAGTGATTCAGCTGTTCGTGTGAAAAGGCTTGCGGGCCCCTCTTGTACGGTGATCATGCCATGTTCTGCAACTTCTGCTGGGCATGGCCAGAAAAATGGGTCTTGTGACCCCCGGGACCATTTAGTCAGTCAGATACTGGGATGTATGGAAGAGGGAAGAAGCTGTTTGAACAATGAGAGGTGGGGAACAAAGCCATAGGAAGGAATAACAGAAGAGCACCCAACGTCGGATTCTGAGGTTGGGTAACATTAGATTTCTCAAGTGGAGTAAAGGAAGTATATCAGCTCTTAAATCACTGTCAGAACTTACAACCTTCAGGGTTGGAGGAGGGGCTCAAGTGGTAGAGTGCCTGGTTCACAAACGTAAGCCCTGAGTACAAACCCCAGTACTGCCAAAACCAAAAAACCTAGAGCCTTCACCTACCACCTGAGTGATAGGTGAAGGACAATTTACATAACACCTCTGACTCAGTTTCTTACTCTGCAAAATGGGGCTAATACTGTGCCTGGCAGTGTGTAAAATGTCCAACACAGCATGGGCACTCAAATGGAGGTTGTTACAACTTTCAGTGGATTGTTCACATGTGTTATCTCACGTGTGAGATAACAGAAGGAGAGAAGGTTATCATCCCTGACTTTCAAGCAAGAGCGCCAAGAAGCCCCACACAAGCAGCACAGAGTTGGGGTCTGTTGGGGTCTCTGGATTAAGAAATCTGCCTTGGGGCTTTAGGCTCCAGTTAGCAAACAGCCCTGTGCTCAGTGGGAGAAATCTGAGGCAAAAAGGACAAATGCCCCACTGAGCTCTTTCAGGCTGTAACACCATGGCTTCAGTCCCGATCCTGGGCCAGTCCCACATGTCCGAGTGCCTCTGAGTCCTTGCAGGCATTTGCTCTTAGCATCACGTGCTCCGTTCCTGTTATCCTTGGACGTGGGTATTCACTGTACAGTGTTATCGGGAGATACACACACAAAAGCTCTACACCAACTGAGCCGAGCAGGCAGGCGCAGGGGGTTTGGTGTCCCTATTTGTCTGCAGTTTTCAAAGGACTCTTAGCTTTAGTGCTGGAGGGACAACTGGAGTGTCAGCCACTGTGGTTGTCTGGAGAGTACCGAAAGCAGCCGCTCTCTGCCCAGCTAGTGGCTGCAATTGGGGATTGCTGGCCCAAACTGTCAGACCTAATTTTACAAAAGAAGTGCCAAGCTTGGCTTTCCATATTAAATGTAGGGACATTAGTAAATACTTGCTCAAAAAATTTTTTTTAGTTTTCTAGAAAGTGAATTAATTTTCAAGCTAGTTTGAGCAAGTCATGTTTTTTGGTGTTCTACTAACCAATTTCATTTTAAAACTGAAAACAACACAAATAACAAGGGTTGGAGGTGTGGCTTAAGTGCTAGTGTTTACCTGGCAAGCACAAGGCCCTGAGTTCAAACTCCAGTACCACCAAAAAAGCAAAACACCCCAAAACTAGCCAGAAGTTTCCTTTCCCCACCTGTATTCAGTGACAGTGGATTATTTAAACAAAGCCATAGTGATTACCACTTTCTGGACATGGAGGAAGGAGGAAGAATTCTCTCCTTCCTTCACCCTTCCTGCCCCCTTGGATATCTGGATATCCAATTAATCCAGATATCTGAACTCCAGAGCCTCTCCTAAGCTATAGACCAGGACATAGGGAAGTACAAAGCTACTGACTGTTCTAGAGACTTGCTTTCTACTTATTCTCCATTTACTGTTTCCTTTTCTTAACACAGAAAAAGAAAAAAGCCAAGGTGGGTAAGACAGGGTGAGTGCATGCATGCATGCATACACATGTTCAAGTGCATGCGGGCAGACTTGCCTCTTCCTCCCTTCCTTCCTGAGCTCCGGTGGTTGAGTGTGACAGCGATGGCTGACACTTGCTGAGGAAAGGCTGAGTGCGGGGCTCTGCTAGGTGCTTTCCATGGGTTTACTCAATCCCCACTTTCAGAAGGAGAAAAGGTACAAAATGACTAACACCCAGAAAGAGGCAGAGGCAGCACTGGTGCCAGGCAGTCTGACTCCAGAACCTGTGTCCTGAGTCACATCTGGCCACCAGATAAGGTTTGGTGCTGGTGTTTATAGTGGACGCATCACTGGGACTGTACAAATACAGGTGCTGGTGCAGACCACAGTGGACACTTACCAAGCGCCACGCTGATGGTAAAACTTTTTCCCCTCCAGTTATAACAGCACTGACAGGGTAGGCCCTGTCATCATTTCCCTTTTCCAGGCGAGGTGCAGATTCAGGGATGTGAAGGGACTTGCCACGGACACAACTAATGAGCGGGCACTGGCACTGGAAGCCTTATTTGTATGCCCCAAGATCTGTGTTTCTTGCCTCACATCTCTGTTGCTCAGCCCTTTACACTCCAAGGTCTCTGTCATCCAGACCTGCGATTGGGTCTGGGAATGTAAGCCTGGCAGGAGGGCTCCATGGCCTACCATGTCCACCGGCACACGTTCCCCTCAGACTGGGACCTCCACTTGCTCTGGGATCCCCACATGCTTCAGTTCTTGGGCAAGAACCTTTGCTTAGAAGGCAGAGCAAGCCGGGCTTTCAGGCCCTGCAGGTAGCCAAAGGAGCTGTTGTCTGAGACTCTCCACTGTGGCCCCCAAGCCATGCGGCCTTCCACCAGAATGGGTGGCTGCTCTCTACCTCCTATAGCTTCTTAGGAAGGCATTTTGCTTGAGCCACACCCCAGCACTCTAGTACTCTCTTTACTTGTATGAGCACATCTTATGCTTGCATAAATCATCAATTTTGTGTATGGGTGTGGGTACTTGGGTTTGAACTCAGGACCTTGAACTTGCTAGGCAGGTGCTCTACCACTTGAGCTTCACTTCCAGACCAGATATGAGGTTTTTGCAGTACAGCTTTACATTCAGTCATCTCATATGATCCCCACAGAGCAGAAAAAGGCAGGAGGAAAAGGCAGGTTTTATCATTCTCATTAGCTGATTAGTAAACAGGCCAGTGAGAGGCAGGGCTGGTCAGTGCTGTGACCATGCATTGACCATGCCACCGGTCAGTCTTTTGTCTATCTGCACTCTCTAGACTGTTGAGACTCCTTGGGGGCTCCTCAGTAGTTGCCATGGTGATAGGGGTACTCAGGGGAAAGAGTTCTGCCCTTCCCATTAAGCAGAGAGCTGTTTTCTTTTAAATTGAGACGGGCTGTGCTGCCTAGGCTGGCCTTGAACTTATGATTCTCCCGTCTCAGCCTCCCAAGTATCTATGATTACAGGTGTGTACCACCACACCTGGCTGAGATGCTGTGCTTTCAATAGTCTTATTTACATGGGTTTCTGGGAGAAATTTGAAATCTTTCCATTTGAAAAAAAAGTCCACCAAAATATTTGAGAACATCGCTGTCCTAGATCCTGGTTTTCTTAGCATTTTCATGGGTAATACCTTTTTTTTTTTAATATTGTTGTGCCCTCATAACTCTATCATGAGGAGAGATGGGTTGGTATTAAAAGATAAATAACATCTATTAATTGGGGCAATGTGTTGTTAATAACAAAAAAAATTGTGAAAAAATTGTCCACGCAGTCACACAGCTTGCTGGCACAGAAACTGAACTTGAACTGAAGCTCAAGGTACCCCGACCTTGAGTTCCTCCTCTTCTCACCAAAGCTGCTCCAGAGGGGAGGCTGACTCCCTGAGCCCGCTTAGCCTGTAATCCTTGCCTCCTCTCTCCAGCCAATCATCTTCGTTTCAGACAGAGCAAACAGCAACAAGGAGCTGGGTGTGGACCAGGAGTCAGAGGAGGGCAAAGACAAAACAAGCCCTGAAAAGCAAGAGAGATCCCCACAGGTTTCTGAGCATGTGGCATGAAAGGGGTGGACAGCCCACAACTGGGGTCTTCTGTGCGTTTGGAGTGTATGGGGGCAGCAGTGATCCCCAGGGGTGTCTCTTCAACATCTAGGGTTTGGAATTGGCCCACTGACCATTTCTTTCAGAAAGTTTCCCTGAACTTGGGTGCTCCTTGGGTAAATGTCTCGGGGTCGGCTGCCACACCACACTGTCTCTAGGACTGGAACAATGGCCAAGCCTCCCACTGGCGCTTCCCCAGCCAGGATGAGACCGGGGGAGGCAAAGGCTGGGACAGACCCACTCGGGAGCTGAGACTGAACTCGTCTTCAGTCCTTGCACTCTTGGAGGGGACTAAAGAATAGTCGTAGAGAAGTGGGGGCTGAAGTCAGAAATAGGGTCCTTCCGAGCGCAGGTGAGGGTGTTAGACAGGAGTGGGCGAGTGGCCAATAAAGCTTGGTGGAGGGGAAAGTCCTAGACAAATCCAGGCCCTGGGCCTCTGTCCTGGGGCACCCACGCAGTGTTCGGGGGAGAGTCCTTTGAGGGCTGGGCCTTGATAAGAGGTGGTGGGAGAATCAGAATGGTCGGCCCTGCTTTGACCTGCTGGGGCCCATTTGGTTGGAATGGTCAGGTTCAAAAACAGGGAAGGCTCTAGCTGGGGGAGGACCAGCATGACAAATGTGGCCTGTGGTCTGAGGTGGCAGGGCTGGTGAGGTACGGAGTGCTGAGCAGCTGGGCCTAGATGATTCTCACTCCAGCTCACCAGGTTGGACTGAGAAAGAAGAGCATTAGCCCTATGCCAGCTCCTGCTGCCACCTGTGGCTGTTTGGGACACTTGGAGCCCAGAAGAGCTGTCCTCTTGATCTGTCTAGACTTGGTTCCTGTGAACCCGTTCTCCTTTGTATTGTGCCCCCACAGCCACGGCTCAACAACACCGACCAGGAAAGTGAGGAACAGCAGCAGTTCCGCAACATTTTCAAGCAGATAGCAGGCGATGTAAGTATCTCTGACCCAGGGCTCCCGCAGGGACTTCAGTTCTCTTCTTGACTAACCGCTAGTGACCAGGTACTTCATTAGCGTTATTGATCAGTAGCGGTTAGAGCTTTTGTTGTGGTAGTTTGGGTTTTTTTTTGGTGGTGGTACTGGGTTTGAACTCAGTGCTCCACTCTTGCTAGGCAGGTTCTCTAGTACTTAAATCATGCCTTGAGCCTCTTGCTCTGGTTATTTTGGAGATCAGGTCTTGCTTTTGCCCAGGCCGGCCTGGATCAAGATGCTCCTATTTTATGCTTCCCACCTGTCATAACTGTGTGACCAGTGCACCACCACACCCAGCTACTGAAGTGGGGTCTCATAAACTTTTTGCCTGGACTAGCCTGGAACCAAGATCCTCCCAATCTCAGCAGCTCAAGTAGCGAGGAACCCACCTTTGGATTTTGGTGGAACCTGGGGGATGGATGTGTACAGCACAGAAGCCCACAAGCCCTTATGTTTTGGACATCACTGGCTGGCTCAGAGCCCTCTGGCATAAGCTGCCCACTGCAGTCTGGACAGCTGAGGGTGCGATATCTGACCCTGTCTTCCTCAGAAAAGCCCCAGCTTCCCGTGACAGAACAGCACTGACTGGGATTTGACAAATGTGGACAGCTGGGATTTGTGTTACAAACCTCTACTCTTTTTTAGATTTTTTTTTTTTTTTGGGTGGGACTGAAGTTGGAACTCAGGGCTTCATGCTTACATGCTCTACTGCTCTACCACATTCTGCTCTGGTTACTTTGGAGATGGGGTCTCATGAACTATTTGCTCAGGCTGGCCTTGAACTATGCTTCCCACTCTCAGCCTCCCAAGTAGTTAGGATGCAGGCATGAGCCACTTGTGCCTGGCTGCTGCTTTGTTCTTGAGCCATGTCTTCTCCTTTCCTCCTCAGGACATGGAGATCAGTGCAGATGAGTTGAAAAACGTCCTAAACAAAGTTGTGAACAAACGTGAGCAACTAGAACCAGATAGCAGGGATGGGCAAGGGGCCCAGTTGCCTGAAAGCAGCTCCTCACTCTTCTCCATCCCCCCAGACAAGGACCTGAAGACTCGAGGGTTCACACTGGAGTCCTGCCGCAGCATGATCGCTCTCATGGATGTATCCTTTCTGTCTCCCCTTCCCAGCCTTCCAGCATCTGCAGCAGGGGCCAGAAAACAGGGCTGTCCAGTCAGGCAGATGGCACAAATTTGTGCCCAAGGAGACTTGCGACTTAAGGAGATCCTGACTCAGAACACCCTGCTTGCTGTCTGAGAGGGGTTATTAGAAGACATTGGGTGGTAGCTGGTTCCTACACCTAGCTCTTACCTCAGACCTGAAATCCTGCCTGGGATTTTGCCAAAGCAAGAAGAGTCCTTAGGGGACAAACTCCGTGGGTTATAAAGCCAGCAGGAAGTTTGATTGGTGGAGTGGAGGGAAAGACTGCATAGCAGAACAGGGCAGTAGATAGGGGAATCCCTGCAGAATCTCCTAGCCAGTCCCTCCCAGTCCCAGGGGATTTCACTGTGTGCCCATAGCCCTGACATCCCTCCTTCAGACAGATGGCTCAGGGAGGCTGAATCTGCAAGAGTTCCACCACCTCTGGAAGAAGATTAAGGCCTGGCAGGTGGGGCGAGTGAAGTGTGGGGGTGGAAGAGGAGGTTAATTGATTGAGGTATTCAGCATGTGACCTGTCCTCGAATTTTCTATGTTCAGAAAATCTTCAAACATTATGACACAGACCAGTCCGGCACCATCAACAGCTATGAGATGCGAAACGCAGTCAACGATGCAGGTGCCAGGAGGAAAGGGGGTGGCCAGCACGCAGACCAGAGCTGGGGGAAAGGGGGATGGAGGAGAGCCTAGGTTACTTGAGCCTGTTACAGAAAGGAAGGAGGGTTCTGGTTGTAGTTCTTGAAGCCAGAGTGGCCAAGGGGCAGGGAAAACAATGCAGGCCCGACTCGACTCTACTTTCTCCTCTACTCTGCTGTCCCCACAGGATTCCACCTCAACAGCCAGCTCTACGACATCATTACCATGCGGTACGCGGACAAACACATGAACATCGACTTTGACAGCTTCATTTGCTGCTTTGTCAGACTGGAGGGCATGTTCAGTAAGTGTGTGTGGGGGGGGCCCACCAGCCCCATCCCACTGCGACAGCTGTGGCATTTGCTCTGTCAGGCTGAGCAAAGGCTCAGGCCCTCTATGCCAAGAAAAGGATGGCAAAGAAAGGTTACTCTGCCTGCAGACACTTGTGCTGAAGGGCAGCAGTTAGAACATGGTCCTCTTAAAAGCTACAGCAAGCTAGGCACCAGTGGCGCATACCTGTAAATCCTGGCTACTCAGGAGGCAGAGATCAGGAGGATCATGGTTCAAAGCCAATCCTGGCAAACAGTTTGTGAGACCCTATCTTGAACATTCAAAAAGGGCTAGTGACTGGCTCACGTGGTAGAGCCTAACAAGTGTGAGGCCCTGAGTTCAAACTTCGGTACCACAAAAAAAGAAAAGGACAAATTACAGCAATGGAAGTAGAGTAAGCCTGTAACTAGCCTCTGGCCTGTGCATTCTTTTACACAGGAGCTTTCAATGCATTCGACAAGGATGGAGATGGTATCATCAAACTGAACGTTCTTGAGGTAAAGCACACCCCCCTGCACCATGACACCACAGTGGAGTCAACAAGGCAGACTGGATGCACTGTGTGCTCCTCATTTCCAAGTGGTGGTGGAAGGAACAGAAAAGGAGCATGAGGGGAAGCATGGCAAAGAATGAGCATCACGGGGCATATGTACTAGCAGAAGGCTCCAAAAAGGGCCTCACCTCCCAAAATTACTTCATGTTGGAAAACAGGGACTTTCTAAGAAAGATCTGTGGGGAAGAAGGATGCAGGGAACAGGCTGCTCCTCTGAAAATCTTCCTGTTGTCTATTTCCTCTTCCCCTACCCTGTAAGATCCCTAGGGATGGGGCAGGGGTGGGGTCTCCTTTCTTGCCTATGTTCTGATTTTGGGACTACTTCTTTCAGTGGCTGCAGCTCACCATGTATGCATGAACCAGGCTGGTCTCGTTCAAGGTTGTGCGGGATCACTCCTACCAATACAGCTAGAGCCATTTACCTCAAAAGACTCAGTAGGTGCACCCTCGCCAGGCCTCCAGGTGCTTCCTTGGTCTTGTTTCTCTTCCACTTTGCCCCCTTACTCTGTGTAGATGTCCTTTGCCACAGGAAGGCAAGTCTGCCTCAGCTAGGTGCATCCTAGCTGAGAACCTGCTGATTCTGATCAGCCTCAGCTCTGAAGCAAATGCTTCACTTTAGCTTGCACTAGGCTATTTGCAGAAGCATTTGCCAATGCACTCAGCACTGGCTCATGCTGGAGCTCTCCCACCTTTGTTCTCTCACTCACGGGACAGTAGCCAAACTTGCACTTGGTTGTATCTGACTATTTTAAGATGGACCTGCTCTGGGGTAAACTAACTCAGTGGAACACGGCTGGATACTTTGGGTTGTCTGACTCATAAGTTTGGCTGCATTCTAAAACAAATTAAATAAAGGCATGTGTACAGCTGGTTCCACCATGCTTTGTGTTCTCTCATTTAGTTAGCAGCCACAGCAGGACTGAATGCCTTTCTCTCATATACTTACCATCACCTATAGACCTAGTTTCAGTCTCCAGCCACACCACCCTGAATGTGCCCATCTTGGAAGCTAAGCAGGGTGGCGCCTTGTGAGTTCCTGGATAAGAGAAAGCCCTAGTTTCAGAACAGAACAACAGGAAACACACACCAAAACAAAACACAGAGCCCCGCTTAAATCATGCCTATTGCTACTTCTTGAACACAGGAATCACTCAGATGTATTCTAAAATATATAAGGAGAATAGCTGTTGGTGTATGAACATCAAGAATAAGTGGCTAACCTTTTATGGTGACTGGAGGGGCCAGTGGTACCAAAGGGTAATGGAATACAGACACTTGCACTGACCTGTTCAGACATTAGACAAACCCTGAGTGTAACCATTTGTCACTTTATCTGGACCATGGTCTGTGGTGCAGCTGTAAGCACCTTGTGTTTTCTGCCCAGCTTCCTTTTTGGAAGCTTTTCATGGAAAAGAAAGGCTCAGACATGAAAATGCAGAGAAGGGAACAAAAGTAAACATTCCATTAATAAAAGTACTTTATTTTCCTCTTGTATTTGCTTTATATCTTGCTTTACAAAGTTATGAAGTTCACAGCTTTATACCAAAATGTAAGAAGACTAGGCTGTTTGTTTATAAACATTTTTGCAGTGGAGTATCATTTGATTTCTTTCTTCTAATCCACATCCAGTAAAAAAAAAAAAAAATCAGAAGCCAGAGGTGCTGGGAGCAGCTCTAGGGCATACATTTCTCTTTAACAGGAGAAAGTCTTCCTTGACCCCATGAACTCAACTGGACTACAACCTTGAATTGACAACAAATCTGAGAAACTTCAGTCCCCATGTGACTCCACAGGGCCACACACTTGGGACCTTAAGTGAAGCTGGAGGTTGTTATCTGGGAGGCTTTAGGTGTGTTTATATGAGGATTTCACAGCCACTTGCATATGGGAGTAAGTATAGCCCAGATCACTGCTACTACAGCCCCTCCCCCACCCCTTACACCACTTCTCTTAAACCTTGAGGACCCTAATGACAAGGTAGGGGTGAAATCACTGTTCTACAAATGTGGCAGGCATGGCCTTCATAATTCTAGGAGCTCTCCTTTAGGTAGCAGGAACAAAATTTATAAGTAAGCATATATAAGGTGCAATTATCTGAGCAATCTGGCGTGTGTGTGCTGTTCAAATCCCTCTCCATAACATACTTCCATCTCCTCTCCAACAAATTCTCTTTCATAAACTATACCACGCCATTTCTCTAAATGTACCCTATGCCCACCAATTCAGCCACACACCTAGCCACTAAAGTTGTCCACTATATAATCTACCAGAAAAACAACAAAACAAAACCTTTGTCAGGCAAATAATCACTTTAAACAGCAATAGTGCTGCCTACAAATTATGTGTAAGTCCTGAGCTGAACACTCAACTGCTCACTCGTCTCAGGGAGAAAAACATTTCTTCCACAAAAGCAGTAGTATAGTGGCTAAGTAATGACTTTTTCTCAAATTAAGTAATATCAGGTCAAGATAATTCTTAGCTATTTTTCTTTTTTCAGTTGTTTAGAATTGAGTAGAATATGCCAAAAAATATTCTGAAACTAATTAAAAACTTTCACATTTAACTGATTTTTTTTTTTGCAACAAATTGCTATTTTAAACACAAGCCTACATATACAAAAGGATTTATCCTATGGTTTTCTTGATTTGAGCTGTTAAAGATGAGGCATGAGGAATTAAAAATAACATTCTAAAAATGGCCTCCCACTGCTTATAAGAAATGCGCCAGTTTTTGTCATGTTACCGGACAGTTAGTTTTCTTCCTTTATGATGCTACTAAAGAGCAGAGGCAGAACAAAGCCAAGCCACAGCTCTTCTGTGAGGAGAAACCGAGCCTGTGATTGGTAACATCACAGTTTTACATAACTTTCAAGACCCTTAAAAGTAGTGACGCAGCCGTAAGGAGCCAAGATACATACGGTTCCTTTATTATCCAGACAGGGCTAGTACAGTTCATCTGGATAACACATTAACCTGGTGTTAAAAGAACTTCGTATGTTCTGCCACTGCTTCAAAGAAAACGTCTGTGAAATGAGGAAAATGAGGAAATGAGGCACACACATATAAAGGAACACACACACAGAGGCAGATATATGCACGATTCTACCAAGTTAAACTCAAATCACATTTCTTACTGATCCTCAGTCTGTAATCCTCTCCAAAGTTCCCCACGACTGTCTAACACCTCCAATTACCCTTTTCTGCTGTACAAAGGCTCCACCACTCTCTTCGCTCCAGATAGGCCCTTGGGCAAACATGGCACCTACCACCAGAGCATTCAAGGCTTTCTTAGCACACTGCCCTGCCACTGTGGAAATGCAGCATCACAGTAGCCCAGAGAAAAACACCAGGTTTACAATAAATCCAAATGGACTTTCTTGGGAAATCACTATTCCCAAACAAACAGAACAGTGTGACTTCTGGTCCCCCTTATGGGTAATGAAGTGAGAGGTGAGAAGAACCTCATCTCACACAGAAATAGCACAAACACACTCTACCAACAAGATCTTCTCTGTTCACTGGAGCATCGGGCAAATCTAAGCCATGTGGTTAACAGGAGCATTGTCCCACTCACAAGGACAGAAGTAAAGAGCTCGAGGGGCCATCCACTGTCTAGCAGGAGCTCCTAGTGCTTAACGTTTTCTGGATCCAGTAAGAACCACTGGAACCTTTCCTGGAAAAAAGAACACATACTTAGTCTTTCATACAATTTCTGGGGGCTCACAGACCCTCTTGCAGCTTATCTATTGACCCCTGATGAAGTCCTCCTGCCCAAGAGCCTGAGGAAGGCATGTGTACAGCTGTGTGCACTGCCAGGCGTGGAGATAAACCTGGGTGCCCTGGAATCCTAGAAAATGAGTTACAGCCTCAAGCTAGGTATGTGGCTCCTATCCCTCTGGTTTCTCTCTCCCCTCTGAAGAGTCTTTCTGAGTTTTGAGAATACAGAAACAAAAGATTAAAAAGTAACACTTGTATAGCTTTATTGATAAAAGCCCAGAGAAAATCCCAAAACAAAGCAGTCCCATAGGCTTTGCTGACTTGGGTGTCCTCAATGGACAGGAAGAGTCTTTCTCTTCACCACAAGCCACCCTACTTTCCCAGCTATCTGGGAAGTGAAGGTGAAGACACTGGATTCAGAAAGAAACCTCTAGGAAGCCTGCTTGAGGCCCTAAAACCTGTGTACAGATGCTTTATTTCAACCCCTTTATTTGGGGTTCTGTAGGTGGGCGGAAAGAGGGCAGAAAGTACCCCATGAGCCCAAAGGAATACTTCATGGCTGTCTTTGCTCTAGTCACACTAGACACTGAGGTGTGGGTTGGAGAGTCAAAGCTGGAAGGGAGATAAAGCCACATCTCCATTTGAACAGCCTGACGGTATCTGCTGCAGTGAGTACTCAGGTCTGACAGCCAAACCGAAAGGTAGACATAATGTCTGTGTGCTGCCTCACACTGAGTACTCGATCAAAGTGGCACAGAAGTTCACTAGGAAATGCAATCTGCAAGGACCTATCACTGTGGGCCTTGTTTTCTGAATCCTAAAATATGGCTTGCAGAACATCCACTCTAGGTTTTTCAAAAAAATCTGTGTGCCCGTTAGCATTTAAAAGCCAGCTCTACCCATCTACAAAGCAGATGAATAGCGAAACACACTGCACATAATTGTTAAGAAAGGAAACCATTTGCTTCCAATTTATATTCTCAATTGTTATGACTAGAGATCCTAAAACTGATCCTGAAAATCTAGCATTTGAACAAACTTGTACTAAAACCTGACTATTGGTTTAAATCATCACAAAAACAAACTAGAAATCACAAACTGAAATCGATTAACAATATATATGTATGATTAGGCCAAACTAGGTAACCAATTACGATCTGATCTTCAACAAACATCTAGAGAATGCTAGTAGCATGAAACACTATTTATGTCATGCTGTCCCAGAGGAGTACGGTTCCTTAGAATCTGTTTAAATTTGTTTACACCCGCCAGTACCAAGTTGAGGTGTGACCTATCATCCCATAGAGCTGCCCAGACTGTTGCCAGTGGTAACCTGGCTGATAAGCACTTTATCCCGCCTTGCTTCAGTGGGGGAAGGGAAGAGAGTGGCCTGTGTGAGAGGCCAATGTCAAAATAGTTCAACTGATGACTTCCCAACATGGGAGGCAAAAAGCTTCATGAATCGATTTTGCTGTCATCTTCAGCATGTCGTTCAATGTGTCCTGCAGCATCCTAGGAAAAAGGGAGAAGGCCATGAGAAACAAATAGTAGTAGAACAGGAAGTCACAGCCAAGGAAAGCCATCTGGTCCACTGTACCTGGAACCCACAGATGAAGGGAGTTGGGAACCAGCACTTTGTGAATTCACACTAAACTGTACATAAAGTGAGTGCTTATCTTAGCACAAGAGCACTGTAAGCCTCTACATTCAGTTACTGAATTTAAATATCTGAAAACACTCTCCTAAGTTCTGTCTCAAAACCTACCTAATTCTTTGAAAACCTTGTTCAATTGTCCCACAAATCTCTGAATAATACAAAGAAATATTCCCAGGTCTTCCCTATTTACTGCAATCGTGAACTGTGTGGTAAAGCAAAGGCTTACCAGCCTCTGCTCTAGTAGTTGACTGAGCCCAGGTTAGCCTCAAATTCCACTCATGTACCTGCTTGGATCCTTTCCTAGCAGTGAAAAAGGCATCACAGTTCTTCCAGCGACATTTCAGAGTCTGAAAGTTGGGATTAGTGTGGTCAGTCAGCAAGTGTTGTTTTAAGTGATCCACAACCCCAAATATCAGAGAGCAACCATGCCACTGCAAAAGAGAGGGAGGGAACCAGGTGAAAAAGAGTGCAATAAAAACACAATGAACAGAAAAAACAAAAAAACAAAAAAGAAAAAAACCTCAGCAAATAAAAACACAATAAATAAAAGAACAAAAAACAGCACGGTAAGCATGCAATCAGATCACCCCTTGCTTCTATCCCATTAAGTACTTAGAAGTAAAAAGCCCCATATTCTCTAATTTATTCTTGGCTACAAAATATAATAAAGCCACAGGCAGGCAAATTAGTTATCAATATGATAAGAAACCTTGAAAAGACAGGAAAGTTTTTTGATACTGTGGTATTTTGAAAAGGCAAAACCCTAAGGTAACCATGACATTTTTTTGTTTGATTTTATTTTTTTGAGACAGGGTGTCACAAGTAGCCAGGCTGGCTTCAAACTCATGATTCTATTGCCTCTGCCTCCTGAGTGCTGGGATTACAGGTGTGTACCACCACTCCCAGCTAGCCATTATATCTTTAGATAAAGAAAAGGTCAGCAAATATTTGTAGATGATTACTATAAATTCAATTTAAACCATAATCATCTTCCTTTTCATTTATTTATTTATTTTTGGTGGGACTAGAGTTTGAACTCAGGGCTCTGTGCTTGCAAAGCAGGTGCTCTTTCATTTAGCCACACCTCCAGTCCATTTTACTCAGTTTATTTTTGAGTTGGGGCTCTCATGAACTAATTGCTAGGCTGGCCTTGAACTACGATTCTCCTGATCTCAGCCTCTCAAATAATTAGGGTCACAGGCGTGAGCCACCAGCACCTGGCTTAAACCATGTTCTTTTCTAGCCATCATCAGATTGAACTTCTATCTTAGTCTATTTATTCCAAATGGCAAAAGACTTTCCTATAATACTGAAAGAGGCATATTTAACAATTCTAACAACTATTAAACTTGAAAATAAAATGTCTGATACTAGAAGCCTGGCATCACAACCTTTATCACTTGAGTCACAATCCTTTATTTACTACATTTTAAAAGATACTGTAATTTATAAATGTGGCTCAATGTCACATATTACTTGGAAAGCACAAAGACTTTGTTTTGGCTTTTCCCCACAGGTTGTTTGTTATAAACCTGGTACTTCTAATTCTAACATGTTCATTTAGAAAAAGTACCACAAATTTGAATTTTTCCACTATCAGACTATTTCATCTGACAGATGAAATGGTATTTTCTTTAAACAATTTATTTATTTATATATCCTGGAACTTGTACTAGATTTTGCTTGCCTTCACTGAGAAGACTAAAAAGCCAAGATCATAATACATAAAAATGCTGAGAAGTAATTAGGTTACGAACAACCCTAATACTAAATTTAAAAGTAAGAGTGGCAAGTTCACTCCGCTAATAATGGCGTAGTTATGAGAACTGCCTTACAAAATAAGATTTATAAGGAGCAGCATTGAAGTTGTAGGGCTAGTCATCAGCCCCTACTCCAAAATAAAAGCCGCACAATTCAGCCTGGTGAGCTGAGGTTTATAACTTCAACACTATACATTTTATTAGCCTAGTCCTCAGAAATCAACAGGGGTATAAATCAAACCACTAACCACTTGCAGTCCCTGAGGACTGAGTGTTGTTGAGGGGACAGGTCACAATAATAAGGACTTCTACTTACTTCATGTATTTCTAGTATGGCTGATATTTTTCTAAGCAGGTATTGATTTTTATAATGAAACACAAAATAAAACCACCTAGGAGACAACTCCGAGAAGACAATATTTAAATGTACCTCAAATCTAATCAATAAAGAAATACAGTCAGGCACGGAGGCGTATCCTTGTAATTGCAACACCTAGGAGGCTAAGGCAGGATGATTATGAGTTCAAGATGAGCCTGGACTGTATAGTGAATTCCAGGCCACTATGGGCAACACAGTGAAAAAACAAAATAAAGTAAAATATAAAAACTTCCTTGTCCTACAGTGACAGGCATAAAGTAGATGCACTCAAATACAAAAATGCTAAACCAGTGCTAATGCAGATGTACTAAAACTAGGGCTGAGGCCCTCCTATGTCTGATGACATTCACAGAACCGTCTCAACACTTACCCAACAGCGGTAATTCTGCATCAGATTCAGCCTCACAGCCTGAATGCTGCCATCGTAACAGCCAGTATAAATCTGGAGAAAGAGGTTTATAAAATTAGATTAAAATATGCACAAAGAAACACCTACAAAATATCCTCAAAACAAGTTTAAAAAAACAAAAACAAAAATACAAACCTAAAGCAAAACCAGCTTCGGAGAACAAGAATGGAAATTGATTTCTAGATCTGGTCCAGATACATTGGGACCATGGCTAGCAGGGCTGGGAGGCATCACTTATTCTCTAATTAGGATTGCTCTGACTTCTAACTGTTGTTGCATATTAGGTATCTGAATCTCATTGCAAAAAGGATCTACTACTCATTTCAAAACATACCATCTGTTCAACCCCAAAACTTAAAAAAAAAAATAAGCCAAGGTTTAGCAAAGTGGGTTTGCTTCTACTTTCAAGTCTGCTCTACCCACGCCTCATGGCGACATCTCCTGACTCCAATCCGGTGTTCTGTTCAGATCATGTCTCTGGAAAAAGTATCTCTATTTTTTTTAAACCGTACGGGAGTTTGAACTCTAGGCCTAACACTTCTGAGGCAGGTCTCTACCACTTGTGCCACTCCACCAGCCCAATTTCTTTTGAATCATCTTAAATATATCTTCTATTTAATGGTAGATTTTTACTGTAATTATTTTAGCTATAAATAGAAATGGAGTATTTCCAACATTGTTGCTGGGTTACTTCTCATTATTAGGACAAGAGACAGAAAGGCATTCAACAATAAGGCATCAGGAATAGATGTCACTTTGGGAAGAGGCAAGTAGTAACTATTATCAGGATGTAGAATTTTAAGTAAACATATCCAACGGCAAACATCTGGCAGGGCTAGCACCACTCACCATGCTTTTATGGATGGTCATACACATGATCATGTCTCTGTGTCCTCCATAAACTTGTAGGCGGTCATGAGACTTAGGTGGAAAGGAAAACAATAGATAATTAGGGGCACATTTACCTTGTGTTTGATAAACAGAGTCCCTTAGGGACTGTGGGAGGTTTGACACTGTGCTTGAGGCACTGAGGTGAAGCACCAGTGGCAGTCTTAGGAAATGAGGAATACCACAAGCAATTTCTTTAGAATCAAAGTCTCAAACTCAGAATTGCACATAAGGAGAACTGGACAGGTTTTAGAGGCTGGGGGAGCTCTTCAGAAGCCATTTAAGTTCTGATATGCATGGGCCTAACCAACCATCTCAGAGCAGTTTGAGTGAGGGCCATAGGCAGACATTTCATAATCAGCTAGTGCATTTGTGAAAATGCAGATTCTTGGGCTCCACCCTGAACTTACTTATCAAAAACCAATACAAAATCCAAGCAGACATCTCCCGACATCATTCAAGCAAAATCCTGGATCTAAATTCTACCTGTAATTCATAGACTCGAACAAATTTATCCAGGCAAGCAGTCACCATCACTTTTCCTAGGATATTCACCACAGTCACGGCATGGTTGTGACCTTTATAGATCCGCACGAGCTCACCAGTCTGCATCAGAAGAGAAGTAACAGTCCTTAGACTAATTTTTTGGTTTCCTTTCTACTTTTGAGATTTATGATTCTTTAACTCTAAGAGACATAATTCTGAGGCTACCAATAAACAAATACAGCTATTCTAATACTAATTACACAAGCATTACTACCTATACAAAATCAGAAAATGCATCCTGATAGAGAACCTAATGTTACAGAAAGGGAGGGGCCACAATTCCACCTGTATCTATTTTATAGCTTTTGAAGTACAGGTTGAGTATCCCTAATCCAAAAATCCAAAACTTTTTGAGCACAGACACGATGGATGTTACAAATAAAAAAATTCCACACCTCATCTCATGTGACAGGTCATAGTCAAAATGCAGGCAGGCACACTAACCATATAAATTACCTTCAGGCTATGTGTACATGAAACAAATAAGTTTTGTTTTAGACTTGGGTCCCATCTCCAAGACACTTCATTGTGTGTATGAAAATATTCGAGAATGTGAAACACTTCTGGCCAGCCCCAAGCATTTCATACAAGGTAGACTCAAGCTGCACTTTGGCTTTTATTGTTTCATTGGTCTGGACAAATCCATCAGGTGGTATCCTACCCCATTTACTGACTAGGAACTGCGTGTCAGAGAGCTATCTCTGTGACCTGAGTACAGTCACTTGGTTGTGTTCATTTGTTCTATTTTAAACTTCATATCATATCTGCCTTCTGAGAGCCTTCATGGCTCAATTTATTTCATGTTGAAATGAGGCATTCGAACAAAACTTTGAGCCTTCCTGGATTAAAAATTTTGATGAGGCCAGAATTTCTAGATTGCTCAATATTATCCAAGAGCACATTATGAATCCTCTCAGTAAGATAAAGAACTTGATTTAAATTGCAAGGGATCCGAGGAAACCTTCAAGCTTTACACACACCGACACGACTTACATGGATGTTGTGGGCGTGCACTGACTGATCACTGGAGCCGCTGAACACAAGGTCATTCACCACCTTCAGGAAAAAAAGTTCAGTGAGCTGGGTTTTGCACAAGGTTTTCAATTTCCTCTGTAACTTGTAACACACACTGGTAAATTCTAATCTCCATCCTGTTTTGAAATGAACACAAGCCAGTATAAAATAACGTTTTGGTGGCAAGTTGTTTCAGATGAAACTGATGCCCTACACCAGGCACTGTGATGAAGTGACAGTATGCAGTATCCCAGAAGGGCATTAGAGTATACCCACATTCTACAATAAAACACACTCAACTGTTTCTCTGTCAGTATATTAAAAAATAGTATGTTACTTGGTGATCCAGGAATAAATGCAAGGAGTATAACCACCTTGCTCTTTTCAAGATGGGTACATTCTAAACAGGGCACTGGACCACATGGAAATGCCATTCAAAGCCCTCTATTTGTAGCAGACAACACTCGCCTCTTACACAACACTTGCCTTCATGCAAAGAATGGTTTTGCTATGGCCCTCCAGAGTTCTGAGGAGCAGACCATTCCGTGCATCACGTACACTAATGGTACAGTCATAAGACCCCACGACCAGCAGCTTTCGGGCACCTTCCTGAGCTGTGGCGAGACAACTGACTGCCCGAGGGCCATGGCATTCAAAGATCTCAAGTCGTTTGTTGTTCTGAAAAATACATACATCATTATAAACAGTTAAGCAACGCAGCTGGAAAACTTTCACGTTCTCTTGTTACTCTGATGTACTTCTGACCTCTGCTTCTGTGTTCTCTTTTGACACCATTTAGTGGACTATAGAGTCTTTGTATCAGAGAGGCCAGGTCACAACCTACATTCCAAAATATTCTTTTATCTCAGATATTACACTTGTTCCCCCTCACTCACTGATCCCCTGCCAATCTTGCTCACAAACCCCCAAACCTTTAAAAAGGTACTTCAGGTACATACATGGAGTAAAACTCCCAGAACCTACGCAGAAAGCAGCAGCTGGAGACTAGAGAGCTGAACAATGATTTCAGCCATCTTCAAGTGCCACAAAGACTGAAGTTTGGGATTCAGTAGGGAATGGGCCGTGATAAACAGTCCTGGCTTTCTGATGAGACCCCAGAGGCCCTAGATGCTACTTTCAGGTGAATGGCAAATCAAAAAAGTCCAGCCCTAACCTTCAAAATGCACATCTAAGCAGAGATTCTCAAAATTGTCTCTAGATCCATCTTCTCCACAGTCTTTCAACCATTTAAAGAACTTTTCCATTTGAACTGGCATCATCTACTAATCATTTTTTTTTTTAATGCACTCTTTCTTCACCATTCCTATTGCCCTAATTTAACCTAATGGGGCTATTAGCACTTCACATATAGAATACAAAAATCTTCACTAATTACCCTTCTATGAACAAAGCACATATTTAATTGCATCCCTCATAGTTGTTCCGGCTGCCATGTAACATGTGAACAACACTAACAGAAAACATTCTGGGTTGGCAGAATGGCCCAAGTGGTGGAGCACCTGCCTATCACGTATGAGGCCCTGAGTACAATACCCAGTGTGTGCACACACACACAAATTCTACCATACTGCTAGAAGATGATACTACTAACTAGTAACAAAACCTCTCAATCCCACCCTTCCTGAAGAGGACGACACCTTCACTTTACCCTTAGTCTAACCTGTCATGCCCGCTTCCTTTGCAAAGCCCACAATGAACTCCCTGCTACTACTCATGCCAATCTTTCTCAATCCTGACTCCACAGAGACTTCCTAAAATACAAATTGGATCATGCCTATACTGAAAGCCTACAAGATGAAGTCCAACTACCTTACCAAAACACAGAAGGCCATCAAGAACTCCCTAACTTTACCCTGAGATGCTCAATAAAGGCTTACTTAACTACTGAATTTACCTTTGGGTTAGGAAAAAATGAGGACACATGAGTGGGAAAGCTCTGACAAACTCACCTTACAGAGCAAGTTCCTCATGAAAGCCTAAATCAGTTCCAACCTACACCAATGTCACCAAGGAACTCAGATTCATTTTTCATGGTGTCATTCTTAAAATAAGATAGACAGACTGGTTTAACCTGTGACTCACTATTTGGCCCCAAATCTTTAGGCTTGATTAAATTTAAATTTAGTAGTTACATTCTGGTCCTGGCACATTCAAGGCTGAGCAGATAGAATGAAGGATTTGTTTCACTTATGTCAGAAGGTAACAGTTTTTGAGTAATAGCTAGTTCTGTTGTCTCCTCACACAAGAAAATGGAAATGCTGGCTTGCCACCTCTTCTCCCTGCTACCACCACCACTCTATTTTCAAATAGCAGAGGAATTTGGCCCATTCTTCCCCAAAACTAACCTTTATGCTGAAGGTGACCACAGTGCCATTTGCCAGTCCTGCATAGAGGATTCGCCATCTACTATGAAGGCAGAGAACCCGGTCTTCCAGCTGTAACTGTTCCACACACTCCCGGGTCTGAAAAAAACACACATCTGTTAGCAGAGTGTGGGGGCACAGGAGATGTGAAAACAATTGCTCCTAAAGTGACTCTAATAAGGAAGAAAACATGGCATCATCAATTTTTGTAGAGGACAAGCTACAGCTTTTTCCTCTTTGAAACACGGGGCCAAAGACCCCCTAGGCTGTGTAATAAAAAAAATCCAGTAATGATACCTATGTTTCTAACTAAGAATGCAGGAATTCCTGAAAGAGCACTGTGTTGAGCCTTAGCCTCATAAATGAAGTGTCAGAGACAGAGCTGCATCTGCACTAAAAAGGAAATGAAGGTGATAGCTGAGCATTTGATATTTGATAGGAGCATTAACCAAATGTGCGTGCCTTCAATTGATCTTTATTCCAATAGCTCCCAAATGCCTCTTTCAATATGGCCCAGGATTGATACAGATATCAATATATCCAGAACCTCAAGCTCCAATGCTGATCCCTAAGACTCTAATTCAGTAGGCTCAGTAATCTGTACATGTATTTATTTTGAGACAAGGTCTCACTGTGTAGCCTCGTGATCCTCCTACCTTACCTTCTCAAGTGTTGGAATTATAGGCATGCGCCACCATGCCCAGCGACCTTGTAGCTTCTTTTCAGTGAATCTCTACCATCACTCTAGGTAACCACAGCAGTTTTGCCCCTTATAGAATTTCATAAAGAGAACATACAGTATATAATCTTTTAAGCTGGCTTCTTCCATCTAGCATAGTATTTGTGAGATCCATCATGTTATCAAGTGCATCAATTTTTAATTTTTTGTTGCTACCTTTATTCTGTTCTTTACATACCATCTTTCTTTCTTTCTTTCTTTCTTTGCTGGCACTGGAGTTTGAACTCAGGGCCTCACGCTTGCTAAGGCTAAGCAGGTACTCTACCACTTGAGCTACTCTGCCAGCCCCCGCATTCACTTTTATAAGCAAAATTTTATTTGTTTATTTACCAGTGGATACACTGACTGTTTCTTTTGGGAGAGAGGGGGTAGATACCGGGGAAAACCTGAGGACTTCTCACACGCTAGGCAAGCGCTCTACTCAAACCTCTGGGTTTTTACTACAATTGATAATACTGCTGTGAGTGTCCTTCTTTCATTCTACACCATGAGTGATTTGTGTCTTCTCTTTGATTAGTTTAGCTGAAGGTTTACCAATTTTATTTATCTTTTCAAAGAACTAGATTCTGGTGTCATTGATTTTTCCCTTGTCTGTCAGTTTTACATATTTTGTTTCCTATTCTGCTCTTTAATATTTCTCTACCCTTTTTCTTTTTTTAGTTTTTTACTCTTTAAACTTTTCTTCTTTTTTTTAAATACAGACAATTGAACCTACAAAACTCCCTCTCAGCACCCAACCAGTGATATGTTGCACTTACTTAGTTTTTATTTTTTGGCAATACCGATTAAACTCAGGGCCTCATGCATGCTAGGCAAGCACTGTGCCACTGAGGTACATCAGAAGCCCTTTTTAAATTTTATTTTGAGATAGGGTCTTACTAAGTTTTCCAGGATGCCCTGAAATTTGCAATCTTCCTGCCTCAGTCTTTCAAGCAGCTGATGCGTTGCATTTCCATTTTAGCTAAAGACTGTTATAACAATATGGTTCAATACAGGCTTATTCTCAGTAAAATGTAAGAACCTTGGACTAGCTCAGCTCCACTTCCTCCCCTGCTTTACACTCCTATTATCATGCATATTCCATCTACACATACTAGAAACATAATGATACAGAGCTATAAATTTTACTTCATACAGCTATATCTTTTAAAGAAATTAAGAGCTGAGAATGGTGGTACATGCCTATAGCCCCAGAACCTGGGAGGCTAAGGCAGGAAAATTTCAAGTTTGAGGCCAGCCTGGGCTACACAGCAAAACCCTGTCTCAAAAAAAGAAAGAGAGAATATACTGTCTAAAAATTTGGGCACACACACGGGATGGAGGCAGCACTGAGTTGTGAATCTATGGCTTTGAGCAAAGGTAGGCTAGCACTCTACTACTGAGCTACATTCCAAGTCTACATACTGTGTAATTTTCTCTCATTTCTTTCAATATATTTAGGTTTAAAACCTTTCTCAGAGAAGATAAACAATTTAAAGATTTTATTCTTTATTCTATCTAGAATAAATTTTGGCATATGATTGGAAAATAAGAATTAAGAAGAATATTTGTAGGAAAGACCTAGGGAGTTACATTAAGAGTAGGAAATGAATCAATACTGGCGGAGAAAGACAGAAAACATGACTTAAGTCTAAGTCTCTTATCTACCTAAGGTGGTAAGAGATGATAAAAATAAATTCAGAGACAAAAATGAGAAAGTCAAATGGGTAGAACGAAGCACCTACTGCAGCTCCCCCACTCTGCATAGCTAGTGCAGTCAGGGGCTCAGTGCCACACTTGCTTCTCTGGAGTCACTTACCTTAACGTTGTAGCAGCGAATGGTGTGATCGCTGGAGCCAGTGTAAAGGGCAGCATTCTTCCCAGAGGTCTGAGTAACCAGCAGGCAGTTCACTTTGGAAGTATGGCCCTCAAAGATACCAATACATTTCCGACTCTAAAGTCAAGCACGAATCAAATTATTACTTAAAGGATGTAGAAAAATTAGATAATACATTTACTCAATTTTAAAAAAAACTTCAGTTCACTGCTTTCTTCTCACTGCCTATGATTCTGCCCAACAAAAAAAATGTGTTCTCGCCCAGCAAGCAATCACATGTACGGAGGTTCCTGCAACTGGCACACCAAACACTCAGGGAAATTCACTGTCAAGGTAGGGGATTTTGATTAATGCCTTGGGCAAGGTTCTCAACATATGGACCAAGGACCTACAGCTAATGACCCAGAAAACTTGTATACTCAATCATTAGCTTGCAAAAAATGCACAATATTAAAAAATGTGTCAAGTGCTGTCATAGGTCCTAGTGGTCCAAGTTTGGTTTTATAAAGAACTATATCATCTCTGTGCACAAACCATGATTTATTTAGAATGAACACACACACACACACACACACACACACACACACACACACACACACACATTTCTTGCAACTTAGAGTAAGACCTGCTCTCCCAGATCTTACATGCATGCTTCACTGTACCATCGCTTCCTTCTTTCTGTCATTCTGGTAGTCCTCACATCACTAGACTAAAAGATCCCATATAGCTATTGCTGTAGCAAATACATCTTCTTGGTTCATGTCCAACTTTCTAGTTTTCACTGGCTTTTGTAATTTTACACACTTTCACAATGTTCATTCAGATAACCTAAGTGTTCTAAAGTTTCTTGGCTATCATTGTTGATAAATGGAATGAGTTTTGACATACTTCAATTCAAAACTCAAAAGTTCATTCTTTTGAGAATACTGAACACCAGATCACACTAAGTGTGAGGTAGCGGAAAAGTGCTGCTCTCCATAAACACGTGTGTCTGTAGCTACTCAGCTGTCTGGGGAAAAATGCTTCCTCTAATCCTTCCCAATATCCATTCCATCCCTCCTTTACTATGTGACTGACCCCACCACCAACTCCAGGGTGGGACTTGACCGGCCCTAGCTTATTGGTGTAATCCCATCCCCCTTTGCCACATATGACTGTTCAAAGACTAAAGCACTGGACCTTTTCTGGTGGTGAGAGGGAAAAGAAACCACAGAAGCACCTGACAGAACTACTTTTGAAGAAAAAAGGATGCTAGAGAAGGCAGAGTGAAGAGACAGAAAGAAACTAAGTCCCTATTGACCCTACTGAGTTGTTGATTAACTGTATCTGAAGTTAGCCTAAAATCCCTGGACAGCCAGTAAATTCCCCTAGCTGTTTGAGAGGGCATGAGCAAGATTTTCTTAAGCCTCCAACAAAAACATTCAAAACACTACATTCACTTACCACTAGGTTATAAACTCGGACAGTTGTATCTGCCGAACAGGTATATAGTAAGTTCCCAAATATCTGAATTGCATTCACTGCAGCTTGGTGCCCCTCAAAGTTTCCTTCTGTGGGCTCATCATCATCTCCTGGCTCTGAAGATATTTCTAGAAAACAAGAATAGTTTTCAGAGACATGTCTGCTATAGTCTGAAAAGATATTCAAAAATCAAAACCATGAGCCAGATGTGGAGCTGGCAAGCCTGCAATTACATGACATGGGTGGCAGAAGTAGGAGGATCACAATCTGAGACCAGCCCTCGGCAAAAACATGAGGCCCTACCTGAAAAATAAATTAAAGCAAAAAGGGCTGAGGGTATGGCTCACGTGGTAGAGTGCTTGCCTAGCAAGAGCAAGGCCTGGAATTCAAACCCGAGTACCACCAAAAAAAATTTTTATAAGAACTCCACAATAGGGGAAAGCCTGTCACTTAGGGAAAATACAGAAAGACAGATCTTTCAGAATTAGTTCCTAAGAGATGCCTGGAAAGTACCCAGTCTCTCTTCACACTACTTCCCTTGCTTCCAAACAGTTATTTCTTTGAGGAAGGCATTATTTTTTAAGCAGTTTCTTTTCAAAGCAAAGATTCTGAAGCCAATGAAACCTTAGTACTGATTAAGTGAACAAAAAAAGAGTCAGACAAGAGATGGGAGTGTGGAACATGAAAAGGCCAGGATTTGAAGATTTAGTGCCGATCAAGGCAGTCCTGTTGGTTAATCCCTCAACCCCATCTCCTGTTCTGTAAATGTGTTTAAATAGGTTCATTCCTGCCTCTAAATTTACACACATTTTTTTCCTGTGGTTAATTTAAATAAAATGGAACAATTACCTTTTATGGAGGAGATCACAGTCTGAGTTTCTGCCACACTACAAAATAACAGCAAAAGTCTTGTTAGCATGTGTGAGAATAGGTTAGGTAGTAAAATTAAAAATTGCTTAACTCAACATACTCCTCCTAAACAATGGGCAATGATAAATTTTTCATCTGAAATTTCTAGATGAAGAGCAATAAAAGCAGTGAATAATTACAACAGCTGAGAGAGCAGAAACATCTCCAGCTGCCAAGATATGATCCTTCCATAGCCTGTTTTCATATAAATTATGATTTTTAAACAAATTCAAATAGAAATCCCCTTCCTTCCTTCCTTCCTTCCTTCCCTCCCTCCCTTCCTTCTTTCTTCCTTCCCTCCTTCCCTCCCTCTTCTTTCTTTCTTTAAAAAGAAGACTGGTAAAGGATGTTCTGATCCAACCAATACAACGTTCTTACCTTACAGGGATGCCGTCCTTATAGCGAGTGCCAATCTCACTGGTGGAGCTAACTTCATCACATCCAGAACGAGAAGTCTCTAGCAGATTTGGCTCTGCAGAGCTCCAAACATCTTTTTTTGATGGGCTGTCTGGTTTCTCTTCTCCTGATTCAGAAGAATCAATAGCAACTATTTCTAACTGAGGATTAGGAACTTCTAGGAGCTCCAGGGACGAGTCACTGTCTGGCTCATCTCTGACACTCTCCTGCTCACGACCAGGTCTGCTGTCTTCCCAAGTAGACGTTGTGACTTTCTCCCCTTTAGTGACCTTCCCAGATTTTACTTTCCTCACAGGTTTAGCAGTAAATACATCCTGCTCAGTGTCGCTATTCTCAGGCACGTGGGCAGCCCGTAGCGTTTTCTTCTTCCGAAGTTTCTTCTTTTTCTTGTTTCCCTTCGTTTCGGCTGAGGTCAAACTGGATTCTGCCTGTTGCTCAGGCTGGTCAACTAGAGAGTGAGATTCCTTCTCCAAAAGGGTTTCTGAAGTAAAAGATGATCTTAGAAAAGAACTGCTACAGGCTTCAGACCCACTGTTGCCTTTGGTGGACTCTTCACCTTTATTTGTGTTAGGAAGATCGGGTGACTGGGAAGAGGGAGAGTTTTCTCTGCTTCTGCTATTTCCTTGCTCCACAGAAAACTTCAGATCTTGGTTAGGCTCATGTCTACTTTCTGTTAGTTCTGATAAGGACAACCCTGCAGTGACGGCTGGATAAACTGGACAACTGTCACTGATCTCTCCTGAATTGAGAAGAAAAAACTATTGTATCTGCTTTGTTTGTTTGCAGTCATAAATGGCAAATTATTTACAAATGACTAAATCTCTTCCAAATAATGTTTTAATGGCATGTTCATAAAATCATGACTATTACATTTGCTGATTCATCATTCAATTTCTCAAAACCGATGCACGTTTCCTGTGACAGCACTGCCTACCCTGTGCCTCACATTAATCTCAAAAATAACAGGCATGTCTTATTCCGTACAAAAGCTTCTTGTGTGGTTGGAGATGTAGCTTGGTGGTAGAGTATGAGGTTCAATACCCAGCACCACAAAAAAAGATTAAAATATGTAACAAAATAGCATTTTTACAGTTTTCCCAATTTTGTAAAATGAACATGAATTAGATTTATAACCAAAAAAGAAACCCAATAAAATAGTTTTGTTTTTATTAAGCAACAGCTTTAAAAGCCACTATAATTCTTCATTACTATATCCAAATAAAAGTAACTTAAAATTCAATATGAAAGATAATATACATTTGATATTGGTATGTACATTAGCATTTCAATAGAGTAATGGTAACAAAAGCCAGGGTAATTCTTTATTCTGTTTCACTCAAAAAACAAAAATAAACACACAATGACTGTTTCTTTGACTTAGTTTTCAATATGGTGCTATTGTGGTTATGAAAACTTCTCATAGGATATTATATAGCTAAGAAATTTTTCTCAAATGCTAGCCAGGTTAAGTGTTACTTTCTGAAAAGAGTAAAAGCCCTGGCTACTTTTCCAAAATCACACAAGTTCCTGTTAGATGACTGCAAGCCCCAGAATCCTATGCTCTCTGCCATGGCCACCTGCATCCCAGGCTTTTATCAGTCCTGGCTTGTATTTGAGATAAAGATAGTGAAGTACTCAAAAGTTCAGAACAATATGCCTTATCTAGGAAACTAGCTGAACAGTTTCAACCCATTTATCATAAAGATCAAATAAATTGTGCCGCTATCTAATGAATGAAATCTTTTAGAGATGTTAATATAAAGTCAACTCAGTGACCTTAGATAACAGAGAATTTGGGAAGATTCACTGATATTTAAATTACATTCTCTGAGAATATTGTAAAATAACCCTCTTGTCTCAAAAATATTTCAAAGAGAAATGACTTGTAATAACTTAGTTTTAATGGGTAAGTATAGCTTTCCACACTAATACCATTGTCCTAGTCCTACTGCAGGGATTCAGAGAAAAGCTTACGTACTATTAGTTTGCAGTAACTCCTTGGACACACTGTAAGCAGGATCTTGTGACACAGTGTGCACACTCCCCTCTTGTCCAGGAGACATGGGCTCTTGTTTAATCTGAGCAGATGAATCTGGAGCAGGGACACTGCCATGGGCTTGGAAAGTAGACGTGGTTACTTGGAGAGAGGCTCCAGTGGATGAGGGAGACACATGGGAAGGAGGTGGCTCCAGAAAAAGAGGGCAAAAGGGAGGAGGCTGCAGTGTGGCATCAGAAGATGTTTGTGATCTACAGCTCCTCTGTTCTCGGGTGAGGCTGCAGGGAAGCTGATCTGGGTGCTCAGAAGGTTCATATGTTTCTAGAAAGGGAAATATGAAAAAATATTATCCAAAAAGTCACTTGTTTCTGAGCCAATTTGTACTTTCTAAGATCAGAAAAGAATTTTAAATGAATAATTTTATCAGTATACTCCCTTATAGTTCTTCAAAATAGAATGTCATATAACCTATATGACCATCAGGGGTACAAATAAAATTGGTGTCAACATTTTGATTTTTCAAATTTTAAATAATTTATCTAAAGTTAGACAGGCACTAATAGAAGAGCCAAGATTTCAACCCAGGTCTTTTGATTCCTGACCCACAGCTACGGTCTCCACTGTTAAACATTTGTGAGATGCACAGTCTACAGGCCTTTCAAAGAAGGATGAAACCAAGGAGACCTGAGAGAAACAATATAACCTTTGTACAACTCTAATAAACAAAAATAAGGTACGGAGGGCCTAGCTCACCCAACGCTCTGAGTACCTTGTAATCCCTGCAGAATTTGTATTCTATGGGTCCTCAGTGCGCTCATCTCCATCGTTATCTAAAAATAAAACATTTTGTTAAGCAGTCTGAAATCCAACTTCCAAGGTGATCTGCTTTCCTCAGTTCGTCCAAAAGCTGTTACCTGCTGCTTGAGCATGAGCAGCCTCTGAACTTCCACATATGCTGTCTGCAGAGCTGCCCGGGCTTGCAGAAGGTTGTTATCCATGCACTGCAGTGATTTGCTTAGTTCTTCCTCTCTTAAGGAAATACTCAGCAGCTGGTCAACCTGAGAACGTTCTGCCAAAAAGAAATAAGGCCCAACTTAGTATACACACTTTAATATAACAGCTCCTCCAAAGACTAAACTACACCAATGATTCAGGATACGCCTTCCTTTTTAACCCAACAGGTTAATGGAGAGTCAGCAATCTCACAAAACATATGGTCAAGCCTGGTAATATCAAAGCTAGAAATTGGAAGAACTAAGACAGAGCTGTCATACAGGTCAAGTGTACCAGCATAGCATACTGTCTTACCTAATCTCCATCTTCCACCAATACTTTTCCAGATGAAATCTCAGTCCTAAGAACATCAACTGTTGTGGGTTTCATTTCCTTTTCTCCCAGTATCTACCAACCTCTTTACTCAAGGCTTTGCTTACATTGGGTCCCAGACCGGAATCTTGCATTCCAAGTCATATCTTTCTATTGTTAGTTAACTTGAAGTAGTCCTCTTCAGTCAGATTACTTTTTTTTGGGGGGGTAGGGTTTTTTTTTTCTTTTATTATTCATATGTGCATACAAGGCTTGGGTCATTTCTCCCCCTGCCCCCACTCCCTCCCTTACCATCCACTCCGCCCCCTCCCTCTGCCCCCCACCCCCTCAATACCCGGCAGAAACTATTTTGCCCTTATTTCTAATTTTGTTGTAGAGACAGTATAAGCAATAATAGGAAGGAACAAGGGTTTTTGCTGGTGAGATAAGGATAGCTATACACGAGTTGACTCACATTAATTTCCTGTGCGTGTGTGTTACCTTCTAGGTTAATTCTTTTTGATCTAACCTTTTCTCTAGTTCCTGGTCCCCTTCTCCTATTGGCCTCAGTTGCTTTTAAGGTATCTGCTTTAGTTTCTCTGCGTTAAGGGCAACAAATGCTAGCTAGTTTTTTAGGTGTCTTACCTACCCTCACCCCTCCCTTGTGTGCTCTCGCTTTTATCATGTGCTCATAGTCCAATCCCATTGTTGTGTTTGCCCTTGATCTAATGTCCACATATGAGGGAGAACATACGATTTTTGGTCTTTTGGGCCAGGCTAATCTCAGAATAATGTTCTCCAGTTCCATCCATTTACTTGTGAATGGTAACATTTCATTTTTCTTCATGGCTGCATAAAATTCCATTGTGTATAGATACCACATTTTCTTAATCCATTCGTCCAGTGGTGGGGTATCTTGGCTGTTTCCATAACTTAGCTATTGTGAATAGTGCTGCAATAAACATGGGTGTGCAGGTGCCTCTGGAGTAACCTGTGTCACAGTCTTTTGGGTATATTCCCAAGAGTGGTATTGCTGGATCAAATGGTAGATCAATGTCTAGCTTTTTAAGTAGCCTCCGCTATTACTTTTTTTAATGCCTTACATATTCTGGATATTAAATCCTTGTCAGATATAGTTTACAAGTGTTTCCCCCCATTCATTACATTATCTCTACTCTGTGAATTGTTTCCTTTGGTGTGCAGAAGCTTTTTAGTTTGATGTAATTCTATTTGTCAATTTTTGCTTTTGTTTCCTGTGCTTTTGGGGTCTTTTCCAAAAAATTCTTTGCCCATCCCAATGTCCTGATGCAGTTCCCCTATAGTTTCTTTAAGTAGCTTCATGCTTAAAACCGTTCTCTTTATTACAGAAGGCTTCCTGAAAATACAGCTGTGGTATGTGTCAGTAGACTCCCAAACAGACTCAAAATCAGACTATACATTCACAACACTGATCACTTATGACACCAGATGTGTGGGATTTTCGCCCTCACAGCAAGCAAGCAGTCAATTCTGTATTGGACACCAGCTACGGGTGTCCTCCAATTCAATTTTAATACTATTTACCTGGAGACAGAATTAGATCCCACAGGTTGAGGCCTCAGTCCCCAAGAATACCCCTCACTTTTTGTTTTGTTTTGTTTTTTTGGAAGCACTGGGCTTTGAACTCAAGTGCCTCATGCTTGCTAGGCAGACCCTCTACCACTTGAGCCACTCCACCAACCTACCTCTCACTTTAGATGCTACTTGCAAACCCTAGGTTATTCTGCCTAGGCTTCTTACTTACAGGCAAAGGGGGTAAGAGGTGCTGAGTTTCCATGCAATCTCTGGGTATGACACCCTCCAAGAAACTCCATGTGTTCAGCTATCAGGAAGACCTCCCAATCCAGCTGCTTTTGGGTTTTAATGGAGGCCTCATTGCATAAACATGATTAATTAAACCTTTGGCCATTGGTGATCAGTTTAAACCTTTAACCCCTTCCCCCCTTCCTGGAAGTTGGAGGAGGTAGGGCCGAGAGTCCCAACCTTCCAATCCTGCCTTGTTTTTTCAAGTAACCAGCCACCTATGAGTCAACTCATTAATATACAAAAAGACTATCACTCTGGAGATTCCAAGGATTCAGGTGTATGCCAATAAATAGCACAAAGACCAAAAATATATTTCACAATATCACAGATGGAGTCTTCTGACTCTACAAACAATACCATCAGTCATCCACCTGGTTGTCCCAGTCAGAAACTGACTCCTCCCTTTTCTGTCAACCACTCACCCAGGACTCATAATCACTTTCTACAGAGAAGGCAAGAGTTACAGAAGCTTATCAGGGGGGAAACAACAATAATAACATCTCTCCTTAATTAACATTACAAAAGCAATCAAGGTGCCTCAAAAACAAAGAGAATTAGCTATACATGACCAAGAGGGATGATGCTCTTACTAAATGGCCTGTTCCTTTTTATCCCACTGAAAGGGCCCAATGAGATTTCCTGGTTTTGTATTGTCCAAGAGATATAAACCTTAGCTTACAGGTCTATGTGTTATCATATATTTCTTCTCTAACTATAACTGGATGTAGTAGGAAACTAAATTTTTCTTTACTCTTAAGCAATAAATAAATTCGCTGGGCATAATGCTGAATGTTTCACTCCTATAATCCCAGCACTGAGGGTGGGAGCTGAGGTAGTCGTTTGAGGTCAGCCTGAGCTACACAGCAAGATATAGGCCAGCCTGGGTTACACTGCAAGACCCTGTGTCAAAAAAAAAAAAAAAAAAAAAGAAAAAGAAAAAAATCAAAGAAATATAATAAAGAAGGGGGAGGAGGAGGAGAAATGAATAGGGTCTGATGATCACAAGTTCTGCCGTTTCAAGTAGTAAAAAGGTGAAGGTACTATAACAACTATGTGTGGGTGGGAGTGTAGCTCAGTGGCATACCACATGCCTAGCATGCACGAAACCCTCAGTTCAATCCCTAGTACTACAAAAACAAACAAAATGAAAAAGAACAACTTCTTTCTGCCAGAGTACTCTGTACCATACCTTTCTTTCCTTTAATTTTCCTCCTTTTATTTTTTCTCTCAAGACTTGGCAGTTCAGGAGAAGATCCATCCTGAAGGGACAAAGAAAATTGAATAATATTAAGTATTTTTCCATAAGAAAAAAGAATGACTTCTCATACACTATCCTTTGATTTTGCTATTCACTAACAAACTAATAGGAGTCTTGCACACAACTCAAATACTAATCAAATGAGTGTATAAATACAAAAGGAGACAGAGATAAAAAAGTGTCCAAGGTCAAGGGTCTTCTGGTCAAGGGTCTGCTGAACACCCTAGAGGTGGTAAAGCCCAAAGGGCTCAGGCAAAGCATTCTACCCTGTTGAAGTTAACACACAGGTGAAAGAATGAACAGAGCCAATAACATATACTCTGATTTCATCTTGGCATAGTTTCCACTTTAAATTTCAGCCAGAAAAACCCTTTACAACAAGAAGCTGAATTGTCTATAAGACAAACCTCAAGATTCTAGATTTGTCAAAGGACAATCATAAGGAAAACTTCAAATCATCTAACACTATCTCTATAATGTCTAGCTCAAAAGATCAGAGTTGGAATTTGAAATAGATATAAACTCACATCCCTACTGTTTATTGCCTCAATTTTAAAGGAAAGAGCCCATTTTCTTACAGTGCCAGACTCTAGCAACTCTTTCTTTTTCAGAAGAGGATCCTGGGAGGACTAAGCAATATTATGACAGGAATGCAAGAAGAGCAGAAGTGTTATCAGTGAATCAATTTCTTAAAGGGTCAGGCTGGGTAATGGACAAAGGACAGAGACTACAAACATTTTTACACTGTGCTCCTTACATGCATTCTAATAGTATCAAACCACTTTAGTGTTAAGCCTACCAATTCTGAGTCCAACAATCACACACACGCTACAAATGCAACAGTAGAATTTTTCTTCAGTGGCAGTACAGAGTGCTTCTATGAAAACAGATTAAGTTACACCTTGGTTAGGTGATATAAAGGACCATTGGGTTGCAGACTAGTTTAGCAATGACTTCATATTTTCCTAGTACTGTACATTCATATTACATTACATCTAATTTAGTATAGGTACTTAGTAAAAGAAACCAGTAGAAAGAAAGAGCTCACAATTCTGTTGTTCCAGAGTGGAAAGAACCAGATACCCAAGAAAAACCAGTTAAACCTTTCTTATCAACAACCAAGTCACCATGAGATGTTCTAGAAAAAGCAGAGAATCATACTCACCCCTGTGGCTCTTCGTTTCTTTCTAATACTCTGGCCATCATTTTGTTCAGCACCAGAGGTACAGCTACTATCTGTGGCTACATCTGCTAAGCTGGAGAATGCTGAGGATGCATTTGATGATAGTGAGTGTCCTTCTCCATTACTCTCCTGGGCATTCTGATGCTCTGACGATCGTGTAGACTTTTCATGGTTGTTTAGGTCTTTAGTGAAACGCATCAGAGGTATTATACGGTCAGAGGGTAATTGCGCACTATGTCGCCTTTGTGTAGTAATTTGTTCAGCCCTTTCACCTGCTCTGAGGGAGGCAGCCAGAGGTGTCACTTCCTGTTTAAGGCACATGGTTGCTTTTTGATTCTGGGCAGCACTCAGTGAATTACTGGATGAACCCATCTGCTGGGGCTCATTTTCTTTGCCAGTATCTTCCTCACTAAAGAAGCTATACACAGAAGGAGCCCTGTCCATAATCACACTGCTCTCAGAAAGGCTTCGCTTTCTTGCCAATCCAGGGGATGAGCAAATGGAAACACCTTCCCACTGGAATCCTTCTAGATTGGACAGATCAGGCTCCTCATCTAAATCCAGGACCTCTTGTTCATTCTGAACCAGAGGCACCATTTCTATGCCAAACCTTAAAAAACAAAGAAAAAACCAAAATCATAAATCTGACATGGCTTATGGGAGGGACACTACTTAATGTGCAGCTCTGTTAAGCATGGGTTATGAAAGTGAATAAAGATGGTCCTTGTCCTCAAGGAGCTCATGGTATCGTAAGTGGTCTAGACATAAAGAAAATACAAATATTGCAATGTCACAAGTACCAAAGTAGAGGTATACATACAGCTATGAAAAGTCAAGTGAGAGAATAAAAATTGAGGATTTTATTTCAAATGAAACTCTAAATCTATAATAAAAAATAATTTTCAAGGCCAAGTACAGTAGCTCAAGTTCATAATCCTAGCTAATCTGGAAGGGGAGACAGAGAGGTTATGGTTTGAGGACAGCTTGGGCAAAAAAAAGTCTGTAAGACCCCATCTCAACCAATGGTGGGTGCGATGGTGAGTACCTGTCATCCCAGTTATACACGGAAGCACAAATAGGAGAAACGTAGATCAGGCTGGCCTAAGCATAAACACCAGACGCTACCTCAAAAATAACCAATGCAAAAAGGGCTGGCAGAGTGGCTCAAGCAGTACAGCGCCTACCTAGCAAGTGTGAAGTTCTGAGTTCAACTCCCAGTACCACCAAAAAAAAAGTTTACTGCATATTCATAAACACTAGCACTACACTGAGAGCTTTGTACTTATGTACTAGTCACAAGTTTGGGAAAGGGAAACAGGACAAAATAAATCCATTATATTGGCCAGTACAAAATATAAAACTATAACCTCGAGGGCTGAATATTATAATGCTTCAGAATTAGATTTTCAAGTAGTAAACACTGAACACCTCAACATAAGATGAATAGCCAAAATGTTACAAAGGTGCTGCATGAAGATCTAGAGAAAGACAAATTCATTTTTCTTTATTTACTTATTTATTTTTGAGGTATTGGGGTCTGAACTCAGGGCCTCACACTTGCTAGGCAGGTGCTCTACCACTCCCCCAGCCCCCAAGGCAGATTTATTGACATGCATTTTTATGCTATCATCTTCCAGTTCCCTTAAGCCAAAGTGATGGAGTTCAGATGACTCTTCCTAGGTTCCCATCTAGTTTCTCAGAAATCATGCTTCTCTTTTAACCTGAATTCTCTACTAGGATAAACTTATTCCATATGTTATAGAGTACCAGTCACTTTGATATTAAATCAATCAGACAGCCAGGCAACCAGTAGCTCACGCTTATAATCCTAGCTACCTGGGAGACTAAGATTGGGAGAATCTTGATACGAGGTCAGCCTGAACGTATAGTTTGAGAGACCCCCCCCATTTCCAAAATAACCAGATAAAATGGATTGCAGGTGTGGCTCAAACAGTAGTGCACTTGCTTTGCAAGAGTGAAGACCTGAGTTCAAACCACAGTCCCACCAAAATATAAATATATAAAATATATATATATATTAAATAAGACACATCTACAATGGATATTTTTGGCAAACATTTGATTAAGTGGAATGAGTAGAATTCTCTTAACCAAGGTCAAGCAGTAACTTTAAAAAAAAAAAAAAAAAAAAAGCAACAGACACTGAGAAGAGGCAAACACCTCGACAGGTGTGATGGCTTATGCCTGTAATTCTAACTAATCAGGAGATGAAGATCAAGAGGATTGCAATCTGAGGCCAGCCCAAGCAGAAAGTTTGTGAGAACCCATCTTGACCAATAAAAAGCTGCACGTGGTGGCACACTCTTGTCATCCAGCTATGCAGAAGCGTAAATAGGAAGATTACCATCCTGGGAGGGCAAGGCATAAATGTGAGACTCTGTCTCAAAAATAACCGATGCAAATAGGGCTGAAGGGCATGGCTCAAGTGGTAGAGCACCTGCCTAGCAAGTGCAAGGCCCTGAGTTCAACTCCAAGTACCACCAAAAAAAAAAAAAAAAAAAGGCACACACCTGGGTAAGCCTTTGCCCAGCTCTTGCTTTTTCTTGGTTACTTGCTGAATGACCTGTTCCCAGTTGACATTTCTCCGAGATGCATTTAGAATCTGCCGTAGGGTTGGCTTGAGCCCAGATTCCTTCTCTATTTCACTCTTTCGATGACCACTAATATTGCGAATTCGTCGAGCACTATTGAGGTTTGGCTCAGGAAGGTGTGCTCCAGCTTTGCTCTTCAAACTAATGTGCCGAGTTAGATCTCTTTGGAGTGAGGCAGGAAAGCCAAGCTTACTTAGTTCAGGCAAAAGAGGGCCTGACGGCTGGCTGCTGTCACTTTTTTGAAGCTCTGCATCCAAGCTAGTGCTCTCAAAGCCTTCTGTTTCAAAAGGTACATGAGATTTAACAGGGTCATCACCCTGTGCATCTTCTAGAGAGGTTTTCAAGTCTAGCAATAAGCCAGAGTGTGGACTGGCTGCAGATGTTATTTCTAACTTGGTTTCTTTCTGGTAAACTGTGGAATTACATGGAGAGGTGGAAGGTTTTCCAGATGTTTTCAGGCTCTGGTCACTCTCTTTTTTTTCATTAACAGCATGAGTGCTACAGGATAAATCTTCTGTAGTTGCAGAACCCAGGGTTCCAATTTCTGTTCCTTGTTTTTCTGTGTCAGACGTCTCTCCATCACTTTCATCTTGTGATGCATGTACTTGAAATTCGATCTTCAAAGATCCTTTTTCAGACTCTTCTACATTCCTACTTGCTTTTGCATAGTTCCCAGTCCCATGAGAAGCACTAAGAAGTGGATTTTGCAATGACTCATGAGACTGTAGCACCTCTTGGGCTTTTTGTAATGTGTCATTTAAATTCTCATCAGGTTCCTTTTGAATGCCAGATGTAGTTTTATTCCCTTTTAAAACACGAGGACATAAACTACGCAATTTGGATACATGGGAAGAACCGTGGTTATCATCTAAAGTGGGTTTGTTCAAGGGATTTGAGTATTCTCCAGGAAGAAAAGAATTAATTTCAGTGGTTTTTGAGAGGTTCTTTGAATCCTGCTTTTGAGGAGCTGATTTGGTGGCTGGAAGTGGAAGGAGGGGGGATTTGAATGGCAGTATCTTATTGGAGTTATGCTGCTGTTCAGGTTGTTCTGTAATGGGGCAATCTCTCACTATCTCATAGGAAGCAGGGCTATCAGAAATGGCTTTGTAAATCAGAGACCCAGTGTGGATTTGTTTTTGTGTTTTTAGCATTGGGGAATTATTTGTTTCATCAGTTTGAGGTTCTTGTGTTCCTGTGGTTAATAAGCTAAAATTAAAGAGAGGCTTATCTACCATATCTGACTTGTTGCCAGTGACTTCTTTTAATCCCAACTGCAAATCCGGAGTCTTCTGGGAAGGGTAAGGAGTCCACCGGCGGAACTTCTCCCTTACTACATTGCCATTCTTTCCATTAACTTTGGAAGCTGTGGTGTCTGTTTGTTTAGTGGTTTGGCTTTCCGGCTGCTCAAAATTGAATTCAAGCAAGCCTTCTTCTGAAGGAAACTTGTCACTTGTAAATCCTTCAGAAGGACTGTATGTACCAACTTTGTCTTTGTCTTGCCGCTGCCATTTATATCTCTCTTGACTGTATTTGTTTGACTTACTAGATTTCTTGTTCCACAGCATAGTCATGTCTTCCACTTGGTAGTTAGAATTTCTGTTTCTGCTTGGTTGAAATTTATCTCCAGGGCCATTGTAATTCCAACTATTTGTACCACGTACATTGGATTTCCAGTTTCCGTTACTGTTGTTCATATGCCAACTGGAAAAGCCACCTGTTCCTTCAGAATGCCAACCGGAATTCCTTCCTGCACCATTATAATTCCAATCTACCATCCCACTATTTGAATGCCAACCACCTCCAGAATTACTGTGATTATTAAACCAAGTTGAGGAGCCTCTTGTACCTTTATGCCACCCAGAGCTTCCTCTTGGTCCACCACTGTTCCTCATAGAATGTGAAAAGCTATTTTTCCTACTATTGTTAAAGCCATCTTTTTCCCACTTCCAATCCCGCAGTGGAGGTCCACGAGGGTGCCTTGCTGGCTGACTGTAACTTTCTCGGTCTTGGTAAGGGATCCGGTCTTCTCGTCTCCATTGGGGCTGCCTGTCATCAGAGCTTATTTCTTGGCTGCTATTGGAAGGCTCATCTTGTCTGGAAGAAAAACAGCATTTCAGTATAGATTTAAGGAATTCTTAAGCTTCCTGTAAAGGCATAACCCATCAACTTCCCCCTTTAGCCTTCTCCCCTATTACTTACACTCTATAATAATAGAGTCCATTTTTATTTCTAGTACTGGTTACTTTCGTATCTTCAGGTGATATGGTTAAATTTACATACCTTGCTTGGCTAACTTCAACAACACATTACTTACCCCATCACCCCAGAATTATTAAAAATATGGCATTATCCTTGCTCTCTTGGTTCTGTTTTTCTTGGCACATTCTGGGATTTTGTCCCTATTAACCTGTCATTATTTTTATATTATGTATCTTTTTCAAAAGAAGTACAATTATATTTTATAATTATGATTATTGTTAATGTAATTTTATGTTCATTCAGCTACCCTTAATATATGATTTTTCTAGTTATAGGTTCTTTTGAAAAAATTCAATTTCTTTTTTTTTAAATTTAGGATTAATGATACAAGAGTGTTTTATTTGAAAATTCCATATACACATACAGCATATTTTAAGCAAGTTCACCACCTCTATTACATTCCTTTAAACCCCTCCTTCTTCATTCCCCTTTAAAAATAGTTTTTGGTGGGTTTCTTTAAGCTATCTCCATACATATATACATAACGTACTATGATCCTCTCCATCCTCCCCTCACCTTACCCCATGTCCATTTTGCACTAAAGTCCCATTATTATTATTTTTACAATCTTTTTTAGACTTAGATTCTGTACAAGTGAAATATGTAATATTTGGCGTTTTGAGCTTGGCTCATTTCACTCACTATGATTATCTCCAGTTCCATCCATTTTCCTGCAAAAGAGATAACTTCATTCTTCTTTATTCCTGAGTAATACTCTGTTGTCTACATGTACCACATTTTCTTTATCCATTCATCAGTTGTTGGTCACTGAGACTGATTCTATCACTTGACTGTTGTGAAGAATGTTGTGATAGACATAAAAATACAGATTATACCTCTTTTATGGTGATTTATACTTCTTCAGATATATGCCCAAGAATTTAGGTATAGCAGAGTCATAAAATAGGTCTATTTCTAGCTTTCTGATGAGCCTCCACACTGATTTCCATAGTTGTTGTGCTTACTAGTTTACATTCCCACCAACAGTCTGAGAGTCCTTTATTCCCTGCATCCTCAGCAGCTTTTGTTGTTTGCTATCTTGGTGATAGCTATTCTGACTGGAGTGAGATGGAATCTCAATGTAGTTTTTTTTTTTTTTTTTTCAATGTAGTTCTGATTTGCATTTTTTTTTATGGCTAAAGATGCTGAAAAATTCTTCATGTATTTATTAGCATTTGCTTCATCTGAGAACTGTGTTTAATTCATCTGTCATGTGCTGGAATATTTCTTCTTTTGATGTTTAATTTTTGAGCTCTTTTTATATTCTGGATATTAATTCTTTATCTGATGAATATCTGGCAAACATTTTTCTCCCATTCTGTGGGATGTCTCTCTTTTTTTTTTTTTTTTTCATTTCATAATGACTTTGTTCATCTTCTTTCTTAGAATCTGGCTTTGTTTTTTTTAGAAAATGGGTTTTCTTATTAGCTCAAACAGGTATAACATATCATGTAACAAGTTAAAGTATGAAAGTCATCTTTCATGTCTCTTCATTTTGGTAGTTATTTCCTTTGATGCACAGAAGCCTTTTCTTTTGATGCAGATCCATTTATCAATTCTTATCCTTATTTCCTGGATGACTGAAGTCCTATTCAGAAAATATTTGCCTATGTATGTATCTTTAGGATTTTTTCCTATGTTTTCCTGTAGTAGTTACAAAGTTTCAGGTCTTACATTAAGATACTTGATCCATTTTTAATTGAAATGATTTTGGTAACAGGGTGAGAAATAGGGGGTTTAGTTTCAGTCTTTTGCATGTAGGTAACCAGTTTTCCCAGTACCATTTACTGAAGAGGCTGTCCTTTCTCCAATGTATGCTTGGGCTCCTTTGTCTAATATTAAATGACCACAGCTGTGTGGATTTGTTTTGGGGTCTTCTATTCTGGCTCATTGGTCTTCATGTCTGTTTTTGGGCTGGTAGCATGCTATTTTCATTAATATGGATCTATAGCATAATTTAAAGTCCAGTATTGAGATTCCTTTGGGTATTTGGGGACTTTTGTGCTTCCATATGAATTCTGGGATTGATTTTTCTATATCTGTGAAGAATGGCATTGGGATTGCACTGAATCTGTAGACTACTTTACATAATATAGGCATTTTTGCAATATTAATTCTGCCAATCCATGAGCACAGGAGGTCTTTCCATCTTCTTAAATTTTTCTCTTCAAAGTATTATTGTTTTCATTGTAAAGGTCTTTCACCTATTTAGTTATGTTTATTTCTAGGTATTTCTGCGTGTGTGCGGTATGTGGCTATTATGAATGGAACTGTTTTTCTAATTTCTTTCTCAGTCTGTTCATTGTTGCTGCATGGAAAAGCCTCTGGGTGTTTTTTTTGGTTTTGTTTTTTAATGTTTTAACTTTGTATCCTGCTACTTTGTCAAAGGTGTTAATTAGATCTAGGAGGTTTTTTTGCTGGAGTCTTTAGGATCTTTTAAGTACAGGATTTGCAAATATCCCTATTTGCAAATCCTATACTTCTTTGACTTCTTCCTTCCCTATTTGAATTCCTTTCATTTCTTTTTCTTGCCCTATTGCTCTGGTTCTGAATTCCAGGAGAGAGGAGAGTGGGCAACCTTGTCTCAGTCCTGATTTTAGAGGAAATGCTTTCAGTATTTCCCCATTTAGTATATGTTTTTCTTATATAGATTTTTCATATATAGTCTCTACTATTGAAAAACCCCATTTCTTAGCAATAATTTAGATTATATTTTGTATGGCTACTTTCATGCATACTTTAACAACCACCTATTCAAAGGCTGGTAGTGGTATAAGAAAACCTTTATAGTTCCTGTTCATGACAGGCTTAGAACCAAGCTAAGGAAATAAGTAAGGTCACAAACAGTAGTAAAATACCATATTTCAAGTAGGTAGTACCCACAATAAGTGCTATAAAGAGCATCAGTTAGAGGTTTTCATAAAGAAGTTATAGTTGTTTGAACTATTCATGTTAGAATAGTTCAACATAGAACAGAATAAGGCATCCTCAGAACTGTGAAAAATTTAAGTCAACAGCCCAGCAATAGATGTGGCTGGCGGAGTAGCTCAAGTGCTACAGCATCTGCCTAGCAAGTGCAAGGCCATGAGTTTAAACCCCAGTACTGCCGAAACATAAAAAAGTACAGGTAGAATTATTTTCTCTGCAAACTGCCTATAGTGCGCCTAGCACAAGTGGTAGGGGCTCAAAATATTAAATAAAACCAGCTAAAACTTACTGAGTTACTAAGTGCCATGCATTTAATGCTAAGTACTTCATATAGATTGCCTCATTTAATTTTTACAATCCTTAAGCAAGTACTCTCCTCTTTTTTTAAGATGGCTGAAGAAACCATAGATTAGAGGGGTTAAGTGATTTGCCTAGAATAAGACAGCAAGAAAGTGAGAGCAGAGATTTGAACATTGGCAGTCTGACTGCATTTATACCATTAGGCCTAAATAAAATGAAAACAAAAGTTTCTTTCTCTAAATTTAACTTAAATCTGAAACTACACACTGACTTTAAATGGCTTTATAAAAGCCTTTAATGCCTATAAAATTTGGACACAAACTGGAATTCCTTTCTTTTTCACAAGATAGAATTAAAAGTTAATATGTCTAGGCTAGGCATCATATTATCCTAATGCCCAGAAGGCTCAGACAAAAGGATTGCCAGTTTGAAGCCAGTTTAGCCTATTTAGTGAATTTGAGACCAACCTGTGCTGCATAGGAAGATCCTATCTCAAAAAAAAAAAAAAAAAAAAAGTATCTAAAAAAAGTTCAAATATCCACTTACCCCATAAATTAAAATCATGTCTAAATGGGACCTGAAGTCCAAGTAATCAGTGCTATCACATGCACTAGCAGGACTTTTGTTATCATCAATAATCAAGTTGCTTTTATCTTTCATTTCTAAGCAATAAGCTATGTTTAACATCCAAGTGATTCCATTATATTCATGCAATCAGAAATGAGAGAAATGGGGAATAAATCACACAAAAGTAGAATTCCCAGAGCATCATGAATTGCCTAAATTGAGGGAATAACAGCATTCAGCTATTATTCACAGCAAGTTAAAAATCTCATGAGGAGAAAAAAAAAATAAAAAAACTTGATGAAGAAATAAGCAGGTGAGCATGGCGGTGCACTGGTGCATCCTGTAACCCAGCACTTGGGGAGGGTAAAACAGGAAGGTCTCAAGTTTGAGGCCAGCCTGGAGACTCTACCAAGCAAAGAAAGAAAAGAAAAAAGAGAGAGAGGAAGATAGACAGACAGTTATAAAATTTTTAAAAGAAGTAAGTGGATGATTTTATAAGTAGTCACCAAAGAGATATATGCCTCAAAGAACTATGATATCTAAGTCTAATCTACCGAGATGTTTCTTACCTTCTGACAATACTTAATCATTTACATACATAAGATAATAAAGGCACTGGTGTGTAAGAACAAAAAGTTAATGTCCTAGAGGCTCAACTTCATAAAACAGGAGAAAGAGTAAATGCGGCTGTACTAAAAGTAATGAGAATGTCATTTGAAGGACTAAGCAACTGAATGATTCAAGAACCCTGTTGGTATTGCCATTTTAAGACTAAGAAAGTCTTCTTCAAGGACTTGTCCAAAAATCTTCCAATATATAGAGTAAAAGCTACATACTTTCTATCCATATTCTAATCTCTAACTAAAAAGGAGGTGAGATCAGATATAGCTAGTATTCAAGAAGACTGTTTAAACTTTGTTTTAGAACTTTTAATGTTTCTCATGCTGTAGGACTTGAAAAATTATCCTACTTCATAAACTGTTCTTTCCCTCATCTGAAATTTTCTGCTTCATTAATTAAACTCTTTAGGCCACAAAATCAGTAAAGAAAAACCACAAATGCCTAAATTCTGTGGGCATGAAATTATGCCTTAAATTGCTCAAATGATATTGACACAGCCAAATTAAAAATACAAACTTATTCAATAAATAAACCAAGCCCTTGTGGTAGTTATTCCAGATGCAAAGACAAAGAGAGAAATCAGATTTGGCCAAAGTGCCATGCTAATTCACAAGAGATAAGTTTTTTTTCCCCTGAGATGTTTTGGCCAGGAAAAAAAAAAAAAAGTACCACCTAATCTACTCAATGATACTTACATTCTACAAAGCTTTCTACTAGAAAATTTGGATATTAATACAATATAGTTACCAACATGGTAAAAACTTCAGCTAGGTAGGTAATTTATCTAGGGATGATAGTGAGCTTGACTTTTTAGAGCAGATAGTGTAACAGTTCAAAAAAGCATGTCCTCGTCCTTTACCCTTCAGACAGCAACTTCAAACTAAACTTTGTAACTAAGATTAGTTTTAAATGCAATAGGCTAAAAAGCACAACGATGTAAAATGTATTTTCTCCTATGTTCTGTTATACATAGGCTTATTCTAAAAATTCAGAATTATTACTTACCGACTTTGTTCTTTCCTTTGTTTTATTAACTGAACGAGTTCCTTATCAAAGTAATCTTCTTCCTCTTCCTCTCCCTTTCCATCATCTTCTCTTTCCTGGGCATCAACATTATCTTTGTGCAACTGGCCAGAAATGTGCTTTGCATATGCAGAAAGACCCACTTCTGTGACCCCGCACACTCGGCACTCATGACTGCTGTCCCTAGGGAGAGAGGGAGATGAGGGACATTCAATTCTCCCCTCGGGCATGGCACACTCACCAGGTCTGTTACAGTTTCCTCTGAAAGACACTGCACAATTTGGCACAGTGAAAAATTAGTGCTAGTCAATTTCAATGCTCCTTTCATCACTTTTAGTAAGTTTGTTTGTAAGTTACTTTCTAAATGAATTTTAGATTCTTTTCCAGCAATCAAGAGGCAGTACACTTCAGATTAATGTGCTTTTGGAGGAAAAATCTTCTTGAATTGCTGTACTTAAAATCTTTCCAGAGGAAACATGGTGAAAGGGGAGGCAGGGCAGGGGGCTCAGAGCAAACAGAAGTTGCTCTGGAGCCCACCCATGGTGCCAGCTGCACTCAGAAAGCCTGGTGACAGCACTTCCATTTAATCTCCAGCTCTAGAGCCTTCTTCCAGTGAAAGTTTAGGGGTGGAGAAAAGAGTAGGCGGCATGGCCAATCCCAACTGGGTAGCTAAATCAGAACAACTGGAGCTCTGCCTGGAATGCAAAGATCCCAGACCTGGATGGGGCAAATGACAGGAGTCCTCCCAGCAAGCTTTTTTGGTCTGTATGATACATGCGATCTACATTCTGCTTCAGAAGAGCTTATTTTAAAAGGAATGGAAAGAATTTCAGTTGTAGGAAGTTAACAGCTGTGTTAGGCAAATGTTTTTTCTCAAGTTTCTGAAAATCCTATAGTTCAGGGAGAAGCAAAACTAGGATTTTAGTTAAACTGGGCAGACTGGGCTGCTCCCCCACCTTTCACTTGACACACTTCATAGTAAATCTCATACTGGCTAGTCTTAAGAAACTGAAGTCTTAGAGCTGGAGGCGCGGCTCAGGCAGCAGAGCGCCTGCCTAGCCAAGCACAAAGCCCAGTACTTGCCACCCCCACCCCCTGCAAAAACAAAACAAAACAAAACAAAACAAAAAAGCTAAAGTCTTGAACCTTCTCTAGACCAGTACCTGTCCCAGATCAGTAACTCAACTGCTTTTTAACTTCTTGATGTCCCTTTGAGTGGGTCAGCTCTCTACACAGTCACTTATGAGAAACATGTGAAAACCATGGCAACTGGACAGCAGTACCCACTGGATAATCCAAACTGACTTGATCTGGTGTCATGTGTCTTGGGTTTACACTATGTGAGCTTATATTAGTGATATTTTTGCATTTCTTATGCCAATCTATATTTAAAAAGGCAACACAAAAGACTTGCTATTTTTTGGACAGGTAAGAGAGACACACACACGCACACGCACACGCACCTGTGCCCCATCTTCTCACATATATCTAACCAGCCGCAGGCTGAATTTATTTCAGTTAACCAGAAGAGAACCTCAAGGAGCACTTTAAAATAAAAACAGAACTTCTTATCGAACAACTCCTAAAAGCCAGGCACCATTCTATGTTGCCTTCTGTGACAAAGCGTAAACAAGCAAATAAAGACCAGTATGATTAAAAAGCAATACTGTGGGACTTGGTATGGAGCATAGCAGCAGAGCACTCATCTAGTAAGCATGAGGCTCTGGGTCTGATCCCCAGCACTATAATAATAATAATAGTAATAATAACAATAATAATAATAACAGCTACTTAAAGTATCAGTACCTGATTACCTTGAATATCAGTATTCTAATTCCTTCTATTCTCATGGCTGCCTTTAAATACACTATTTTCACTTTTCAACTGTACTTGATACATTTACATATCTAAAGAAGAATACAACCTTCAACCTTCTCCAGTTTACCAGGGATAGCCACTAAACTGAGCAACTAAACTAGCTAAGGCTAGGTGGACATTAACTTGTAACAGACAACAAGCTGTTTCTAACAGCAGCATGGAAAAAAGCTAAAAATACAAATCTATCAACAACTGGCAGAATCTGAAAAGCATATAACAAATCTACAATACCTAACTTGCACAACAGTAGAAATTCATATCATCTTAATTTTCCAGCCAGAAAATCTTTTTATCTTTAAACCTTTTAAAACCACGGAAAATATCTTAGTCGACTTTTCTAAGAACTTACAGAATGCCAAACTGTCTATTATCGTACCAACATCATTCTATTGGGGACTGTAGTACAATCCTTAAAAGATTTTTAAACGAGATTCCCGATTTTACTGTTATTTCTAAAATGCAAGAGTACTGTTCTCATGCTGAAACCATCAAAATTTCTGTTTCTTTAAAGATATAACAGGGCTGGGGTATAGCTCAGTGAAAGCATTTGCCTAGCACACATAAGGCCCTGGGTTCATCCCCAGCACTGAAAAAAAGAAAGAAAAAAGAAAAGAAAATCACAACTGAGGGGTCACATTTTTCTTTTACAACATTAAGCAATGTAATATAAAATATGGAGAGTTTGGGCTGGAGGCATGGCTCAAGTGGTAGAACAGAGGCCCTGAGTTTACCACCCCTCCTCCCCCTGTACTGCTGATCAATCAATCTATGCAGAATTTAACTCCATTAAACACAGACAGCCATAATCATAACTCACACACTTTGCAGCCCTCAGAGCACAAGCACATGCTGGATATTTAACAGATATTCAAACATCGATTTTTAAAACCATTTTGCTTTCCTTGTGAGAGAATATATAACCACAGTTCTGAAGTTATTTGACAGAGAACTACACCAGCAATCCTGCCCAAAGGGCATAGGCAGTGTGACATAAAAGTTAATACTAAAAATGATTTATATATTAAAAAAAAACCCAGAAATTCCTAACATTTTTCCTATAAATAGAATCCAGTTTTAAAAAGAGAGATACACTTATAGAAACTCTGATAAGAGAGAATGTACATTTATATAGAGAAGGAGCAGTGTAGGACAGCTACATTTTCTGAGAAGCCAATGTATCTGGAGGCAACTGTACAGCTCTGTCCTACACACAATAGGTTTTCATGCTTGCACATACAGAGTTCGAGAAACCATGTTTTAAAAGTTAATAGCAGGACTGGAGGTGTGGCTCAAGCAATACAATGTCTACTTTGCAAGCAACAAAGCCCTGAGTTCAAACTCCAATCCCACCACAAAATAAATAAATAAAAATTACATTTTAAAACACTTTGCAATTCTTTTGTTAATAACTGGTTTAAATACTTTGTGTAAATGCATAATTATGGAGAAAATATACTGCTTTTCTTCAAAGCTAATAAAGGCAATAATTTTCCTCTGGGTGTTTAAGGGTCCCAAATTAGCTCCATCCTGTTACTACACAATTTCCTCTCATGGGTGCAAGGCAGTCTTAAGATACTCTGTATAAGCTTTTCTTTATTAAGCTTGCTCTAACTACCCCACAACAGCTGCCTGGTAAATAAAGGTTTAAGCATTTTTAACAGTTTCTATTTGGAGAAACTACTTATACACCACACATCTGAGCAAATACATTAGGAAAAATAGGGAAATGCTCCAGATGTCCAGAACTGTAAACCAAAGAGGACCAGTCACTTCTCATTCAAGCTTGCATTTAAAATTTGAAAGAATTTTGAGATTTTTCAGACTCTCCCCGGCCCCTCCTTGCTACCTGTTGGCTTCTCCCTTATCTGTTATAGACCAGGAAACTTGCTGGCACTGCATCTAACATATGGGTAAATCAGCATTCATGTATTTCCTCTAAACAAAATGAGTTAGGACGCTAAAGTTGACCTAAGTATTTCTATTCCAAACAACTGAAAAAGATAACATAAAATCTCCATGACACAGTTAAGTGGGTTTAGTAAGTTTTAAATGCTGATATAGGATCTCTGATGAAATAAAACATCAGTCTTGGAATGCACAAGCCTTCTCTCAGTCTGACTACATTTACTGACCTCATTTGTTTTTATAATATAGTACACATGGGACAGCTGGGAGGTAAGCAGCCCAGAATAAGGTGCACTCTAGCAGGAAGTCTATCAAAAATGGGATTTATAAATAGCTAAAACAAGGCACAGAAATAATCAAAGTTAGCTGCTTTACTTTGTAGGTTTCCAACGCTAATTAGTAGAGATCACTTCATACATATTCAAGGTATTGTGAGAAGGGCTCTTCACATTAGATTTGAGTGAAATCCTCTTTACACCATCACCCACTATGGGACTGAGGGCATGAAAAAATTCCATTAATTTGCTATAGAGATGCTCAAAGTTTAATAACACACTAATTTACCCACACGACCTTTATGACTTACAATGAAGTAATACAGTCATGTCAAATGACCTAGGATGGCAGCCTTGAAAACTTTTAAAAAATGTTTATTAGTAAATAATAGTTGTACAGGTGCACAACATACATGCATACAATGTACACCTGTTTGGTTCATCCCCTCCATTATTCTCCCCCTTCTCCCTGCTCCTCTTACAATGACTTGAACAGGTTTCAATGTTCCATATTCATATATGTGTAGAAGGTACATCAGGCACATTCACTCTTTACCCTCTTCATTACCTTTCCCCTCTCCCACTTTCCCTAACTACTATTCATAGAATGAGATGTAATTCATATTTCTCAGTTTTTCAACTCAGTACCACCAAGAAAAAAACCAGAAATGTAATTCACATTTCTGTTTCCTAATGCTGCTATTTATCCAGTCTCCAAACTTCCAATTCAAAGAAGTCAAAAACATTAAAAAAAAAAAGGAAACTACAGATGGAAATATATGAATACTTTTTTTTTTTTTTTGGTGGTACTAAGGTTAGAACTCAGGGCTCTGCACTTGCTAGGCAAGTACTCTACCACTTAAGTCAAGCCCCCAGCACTACATTTTCTTTTAAAACCTGCTTACTTACTGGATTTTCTTCCCTTAAACATCTGAAGTTTAAATCACAAGAGAATACCCTCAGATACACTTAAGATCTATAACCCAATTTTGTTTACACTAATGAGATTCAGTACAATATAGCAGGTGTTGGACTTCTCAGACTATTCAAGCAACATTAGAGGCTTAGGTATGCAAAAATTTATAATTCTATTAAAGCAAAAATATGAAATGTCCTAGATTCACAAGGCTGCTGTGTAGGCATCAGATAGCTAACTCATAAGAGAGTTAGCTCATCCCAACTCACCTTTGTTGCATCTAACTTGCCAGAGCTGCACAAAGATACCAGGGTTTATCTCAACTGAATGCCAAAAATCTGCTGAGTTTATTAATTCTAAACAATTGTTCTAAACTGCAGACAACATTCAACATGATGGGCTACTAAAAAATAAGCTGACAGGCACCACAAGCACTCAGATCCCCGCATCCCCAAGGTATGGAAGAGGTGTTCCCGTACCTGCCCTTCAGGTTCTCAAGTTCCCTGTGGTGCAACATGCTCCGCATGTGTTCGTCCATCTCCTTCAAAATTAAAGAAAGCAGATTAAACTAAGGGGGATTGCTCCGAAGGGGAAAACTCCTCTGCTCCTAGTCAATCAATAATTGTAGAGTTAGCTCCTTGTGTCAAAACTGTTTTCATGTGATTACTCTTCTAAATGTAACACAGACATCAGCCCCTTGTTAAGTAATTCGTTGGCTGTGTTTCTGACATATTTCATTTTTAAATAAAAGGAATTCTTTAACTATTTTAAGTGATTTTCCAAAATGGTTAGAAAGTATCATCTTTGGGAGGCAAAAGACTTAATAATAAACTTGTAGGTTAAATTATATCCCATTATAAAGAACTTATTATATTTTTCTAGGGATGGTGGAGTGGCTAAATCAGTAGCGTGCCTTTCTAGCAAGTGTGAGGCCCTGAATTCAAACCCCAGGATCATCATCACCAAAAAAAAAAAAAAAAAAATCTCAAGAATCACTTAACTTTTCAACAGTTTGTCTACTTTTATCCACTCTTTCTCTACTCAACTGAGCTTCTTAAGAATAAGCTACAACTCAAGACTGTCACACAGTTGTCAAGAAACATTTGTTGAGTAAATATGGATGGCTATATTAGTTCTAGATAGGAGTTACAAAATAATACAGTCTCTTTATGGTACATCAGAAAGTTGGAAAAAAAAAATGCTTCACACCTTCCAGAATGTGGCTCAAGAAGTAGGGCACCTGCTTTGCATGGGCAAGACCCTGCCTGAGTTCGAACCACAATACTGCCAAAAAACTGAACACAACAGCTCAATCATTGCTTTTCACTGCCCACTACCCTACTTTCTCAATGGATTTATTTGGGTCTAATGAAAAGTTTGAACATTCACTATGTTCTACACGTGCCCCCCCACACACACACTTAGTAGGAAGGAAGTAAAACCTGTGGAAAAGTTGTCACTTGAAAACATGCACACAGGTAGGCATGGTGGTACATGCCTATAATACCAGTATTATGGAGGCAGAGGATCATGAGTTTGAGGTTAGCGTGGGCTACACAGCAAGACATTGTCTCAAAACAAAAATAAGCAAACACACAGACAAAAAAAGCCTCAAAGAGCTGTAAACGCCTATCCCTTTGTCCCTCAGCAGTACACACAGCCAGCATGCCAGCATAGGTAATGGATGCTTACATGCAGAGTAATAAAATACTACCACAATGTCTAGCATCCCTGCTCCCTGCTTGTGCCTCAAACACTGTCTCACTTGAACTGCAAAACATTGCTGAGGGAGCATGAGCTTCAGAAAGACACAAGGATGCAGAGAACGGAACTGCTTCATTTACCAGCTCTTTCTTAAACGCCTCTTATGTGCCACACAGAGTGAGGCACTGAAGGGAAAATGCAAAATGATTCCCCTCAGAGTTATAGATGATCACGTGGTCAAACTGGGACTCAAGGGCTGGCAGCATGGCTCAAGGCAGTAGAGAGTATGCCTTGCAAGCATGAAGCCCTGAGTTCAAATCCTAGTACCACTTAAATAAATAAATAAATAAATTTGGATTCAAACCCAGGGAGATCTGACACCAAGGTCAATGTTTCAAACACCATGCTATACTGTAAGCACCTAATGCATTGAGGTTTTTCATAATACACAGTTCATGTGTCAGAAACATGCTAACAACTTAACAGTGCATTATTACATTAAGTTACCTTCTACAGTGTGATAAACAGGTATGTGACTCAAACACTTCCTTTATAAATGACAACTTATTAAAGATGACCATTATTTCCTTCCAATCTCTACAAATGCTTCATTTGCAAAGAACTTTACCTACCAACCCCTTCTAGCCACAACCAACTGGCCCTTAACTAGAACTTGTACAGCTGAAAACTGGGTCAAGCTAATGACAGAACACAGAAGTTAAGCTGGGGCCTGGTGGCTCACACTTGTAATCCTAGCTATTTAGGAGGCAGAGATCAGGAGGGCTGAGGTTCCAAGCCAGCCGGGGCAAATAGTTCAAGAAACCCTATCTCGAAAAAACTCTTCACGAAAAAGGGCTGGTGGAGTAGCTCAAGGTATAAGCCTTGAGTTCAAGCCCCAGTACCACAAAAAAAAAAAAAAAAGAAAAAGGTTAAAAAAAATCCATGAATATACAGCATCTTTTCAAGTGGCTATGCTTGGGCTGGAGGTGTGGCTCAAATGTCAAGTGACTACGCTTTCAGAAAAATTTCTCAATTTTTCCTTGACTTAGACTCATATCCATGTCAAATTCCCTTGTCTTCAGTTAAATTTCAGTGGGTTCTGTTCCTTGCAACAAACCATTCCTGACTAAAGCAGTATTCATTTACATGGCTCACATTCTCTAAAATAAAATAATTATGTATTCTATTTATTATTAAAAAATTGCAATTCAAAACTAGTTGCAATGTGGCTTTTGATTTTCTAAAATGCTTCACTAATCTTTTTCTAAATTTACATGCAAAATCCTCTATCATCCTGCTCCAAGGAATGAATGAAAACAGTGAAACAACTGGGTTTCCAGATAGCTACACAGAATCCACAGGCATAGGATCCAGCTAACAGCAACAGAGGCATAGCTTTCTCTATACCATGCTTCCATGTAGTTACTTTTATATTAATCAATATTATGGTTTGCTGGAGTGGGAGTATCATGGTTGAACAAATTTGGAAAACACTGAAATATAAAAAATACATTTTTGGGGGGCTGGCAGAGTGGCTCAAGTGATAGAGTGCCTATCTAGCAAAGCGTAAGCCCTGAGTTCAAACCCTAGTACTGCAAAAAAAAAAAAAAAAGAAAGAAAGAAAGAAAGAAAGAAAGAATAGATAAATAAATATATATATTTTCAACTCAGGGTCTCTCAGTCTTTCATGTGTTAACAGTCACCAGGCTAGGCTACTCAGGGATGTAGTACACAGCTTTTTCCTATTTAAGGTACCCTAGAGCCTTTTTTTCTTTAGAGTACACTTGGAGAAACTAGGGTTATATTTGTTTGGGAAACTAGAGGGAAGCACTGCTTAGACATAAAAAAATAAGTATCATGCCAGATTGGATGACACACGCCTATTAATACCAGCACTCAGAAGGTGGACTTCAAGACCGGCCTGGGCTATGCAATGAGACCCTGTCTCAAAAAGCAGGACACCAGTGAAAGTTAAGTACCAGAGTTATCCCTTCCAATTAACCCATTTTGTTAATTTTTAAAACCAGATTACTTACTAAAACCATGCTGTTCCCTTAATAACACATACAATTAGCTTTCCAAAAAGCAGGAGTGAGCAACCCCAGTCCTTGACTTAATTTCATTATGGTTGTGGCAAAGTGTGAAGGAATGAAAAGGTATTTTAAACCAGCATAGGAAGAAATGCCAGAAGAATCTAAAATGGCAAAACCATGCTATTGCAAGACTTTCTCCACAAAGGTCTGAGACGCACTGCTGAGTACTGGCCCATCCATTGCACAGTCTCTCCTCTCCCTCCAATCTGAAAGCAGTAAAAGGAATTTTGACTTACTGAAAAAAATAAACTCTGACCTAAACTTTTAACACTGAAGAACAGTACTTTTATAAAAGCCTGAAGGTATATTTTTAAACATTATTTTAAAACCTCAACTGATTTTTCTGTAACTAACAGAAATCCTGAACAGATGAAAAAGAAGAATCTTCACCCTAGCGCATTCAACATTGTTTACCCACTGCCTTCACATACGTTGCAAGTTAGAGCTCCACAAAGCCTAGGACAAAAGGGTTTTAATCCCACAGGTCTCTTTGAGGCATCTACAACTGTCCGCTCCACCCCACCTGTGTGTCCTTTGTTTATGATGTTCTTCCACCTAAAATATCCTCCTTATTTCACTTCAACTGTCTAACTCCTAGACACCTTTCAAGGTTCACTTCTTCCACTCAGACTTTCCTGGCTAACCTAGCCAGTTCTCTGAATTTCCAATGACAATCAAGAACATCTTAAAAGCACAGAGAATAAATTCTTTGTACTTAAACTAGCAGCACTACTTTGAAAGCCAAGAATATAGGCAACAAAATACAAAAGTGAGACAAATTGTAGCCAACTTCTGTGAGGAAATTTCTTTTCCTATTTAAAAAGATCTTTTTCGTTGAACAATATCCCCACCTTGTGGACATGCAGGATACTGTTAACACCACTTCTGTTGTACTGCACAGCCCATCCCCCACCCCCAAATCTCAAACTCACATTCCTCCTGCCCCAGCCTCCAGAGTACTAAGATTATAGGCTTGTACTACCAAGCTCAGCTGTACAGCACTTTGCACAAGCCAGGGCATAAACAGAGAACAGGTACTTATTATAATAAACTTTGTATTTGCTAAACATTTGTGAATCAAAATAGTACATGATTTTAGGATGATGATGTAGCTCAGAGGTAGAGCATTTGCCTATTGTGCATGAGGCCCTGAGCTGGATCCCTAGCGAGGGAAGGGCAGGGAGAACACACGATCCAAAAATTCCAGAAAGTTGGCTGGCACAGTAACTCAAGAAGTAGAGCAGGTGCCTCACAAGCTTGAGGCTCTGAGTTCAAACTCTAGCACTAACAAAACAAACAAACAAACAAAAGGACCATTTAAAGTTTGCCAATCCCCCAAGTGCCACCAAAAAAAAAAAAAATCTGCCAAGTTTCTTAAAAAACAAAAACAAAAAAACTCAGAGAGTTGTAAGGTATTTTCTTCATAACTGGTGACTAAATATTTCTCTATTATCAGCTATTTTTGAGTACCCTCAAATTCCGGTTAGAAGTTTAATAATACAGTTATTAGCCTTGTGAGAGAGTAATGAGAAACAAAACAAAACAAAACAATGGAACAAGCCTACAGTTTAGGAGAGCATAAATAAGATTCTGCTAAAAGCTCTTACCCACCTATGAGTAAGATATCGGAAAACCTGACTGGTCATAAAGCCTCCGGTTCTCCCCTTCCCATCATTACCTTTTTTGAGCTGTACATGATGTTGCACAACATGCATTTTCGTTCTCGTACCATAGTGACCAGATTTGAAGCACTCCACGTCACACCTGCAACGAGGAAGCAACAGTTAGTAAGATTTTCCCCAGATAACTTCTTCAATTCATAACAAAGCCAACAGTACAAGTCTTGTATCTTCTTCACCTCTATTCTGCTCCTCCCTGTCTTCCCATCTCAAAAGATGGAAATTCCAACTTTCCAGGTGACTCTGAGTCATCCTTAATCCCTCTTTCTCACGCTATATCCACCCTCAGTCCTTCCTTGGCCAAATTCCAACCATTCCTCACAGCCTGCCATACCTCTCACCTCTCACTCAGCCCTGGTCTACAGATTTGACTCCCTACTGACTCCTGTTCTCTTGTACTCTACTCTCAAAGCCACAGCCAAAGATTCTCAGTACAGTATTCTTTTAATTTTAAGTTAGATCATACTGTTCCTCTGCTCCCATCTCCAAGTCCTTTCCATGTCTCTGGAGGTTCAGCAGCTTCTTGCTATTGCAACATACTTCATAAATTTCCTTTTGTACAAGCAATCCTCCTTCTCACTTCCTCGCAGACTTCCCTACCTCCCTCCCCCTCTGCTACAACTTTTTGGTCACATAACTCCCCTTGCCACTCCATCACGCCAGAGATTCTCCTGGCTTAGGACTTCTACATTTTGTGTTCTTTCTACCTGGGGTACTCTTTCTTTAGATGTTTTTACGTTTTTTGTGGCTCACTCTCATTTCTATACGGCATCTAAAAGCCCGCATCCTTAGGGAGGCCTTCCCTGAACCCCTCTATAATACTTCACATCTGTCCGGACTCCCCCATTGTTCTATTTTCCTATTAGCCTGCTGAATTTGAATTCATCGTGTTTCCATAAACAACATGCCCTACCTCCATGCACTGTTTTTCAATTCGATCTTGCTACCACTCACCCAAAAGTTAGGAGTATGTCCTCTCCTCTATCAATCATTTTTACCAATAAAATGCTGCATAAATTCTGGGGTTGAGCTTTCAAAAACCTGCAGCATCAGCTTTTGCCCACTTGCTCCAATCCCTCTTGGAGCCCCAAACCACAGGGAAAGACCAAGTGGAGAAGAACTTAGGCCCAACTGAGCATCCAAACAACAATCAGACCAATGACACCATCAGCGAGCCAGCGTGGCATTTCCAAATCCATCCACCAATGACAGATGTCAAGCAAGACTAATAGATGAACTATCCAGAAAAGCCCTTTTGAACCAAAGAATTATGAGAAACAACAGTTTATTTTAAACCAGCAAATTCTGAGGTAGTCTGTTACTCAACAAGAACCTGAAACAAGTACCATTTAGTACCTGATACGTGATACATTTGCTATTTTCTATATCCCACAATTAAAAGTCAAGTTCCATGAAAACAGGGACTTTCTACATTTTGATAGTTATAGTACTTAGGACAGTGGCTGGCATGTGCTAGGCAATCCACAAGTACTTGCTGAATTATTCCAAATGGAATGATCTTGGATTACTACAAGTGAGATGGAGAGAGCTGGGCAAATGCTGGGGTTTTACAATCCTCTAGGTCCAGCACATTTTCCTCATCAGTCCCTAAGATTTAAAATCTTAAAATGCCAAGGGACTTTTTTTTTCCCTCTACCCAACATCAGGCTCTAACAAATATCTGCTTCCTCACTGTCATATAATGCCAGCCTCTTAACTCCCAGACACTATGGCAAAGGACCAACAAAAGAGGCCTAAGGTCTCCATGTCTCTGGTGGTTCAGCAGTTTTCTTGCTATTACAACACACTTCATAACACTACTGAGTGCCTAAAATATCCTCCACACCCCCCTCCCCACGCCTGAGGTTTGAACTCAGGGCCTCACACTTGCTAAGCACTCTTACCACTTGGGCCACTACACCAGCCCTTTGTTTGTGATGGGTTTTTTCCAAGATAAAGTCTTGAGAACTATTTGCCTGGGACTGGCTTTGAACTGCAATCCTCTGCCTCCTGAATAGCTAGGATTACAGATGTAAGCCATTGGTGCCCAGCTTAAAATCATTCTTATGGGGTTCAAACTTAGGACTTTGTGCTTGCTAAGCAGGGGCTCTACAACTTGAGCCATGCTTCCAATCTTTTTTGCTCTGGTTATTTTGGAGATCAGGGTCTCGCTTTTTGCCCAGGCCAGTCCAAATCATGATCCTCCTTATTTACGTTTCTTGCCATCACTAGGAGGATAGGTGCACGCCACCACATCCAACTTTTTTCCATTGAGATGGGGTCTTGGAAACTTTTGCTGGGGCTGGCCTGGAACCATAACCTTCCCAATCTCAGCCTCCTGCATAGCTTGAGATGACAGGCATGCATCACAACACCCAGCAATTAGAAGATGGGATCTTGTGAAATTTTTGCCCAAGTGACTTCAAACTATGATCCCCTCAATCTCAGTTTTTCAGCTCAAAAAAGGTAATAATGGGAGGGGAGGAATCTGAGGCATAAGCCACCAGCACCTAGCACACACACGCGCACGCACACACAAAATTTCCCCAAGCAGCCAGGCCTAGTGGTGCACACCTATAATAATCCCAGCAGTCAGGAAGCTGAGGCAGGACTGTGAGTTCAAGGCCAGTATGGGTTACACAGCCTCAAAAACAATTTTTTTTTCCCCTCAAGCAACCCTAAAAGTCCACATAATAATTTTAAAAAATCTCTGAACTCAGGGCCTGACACTAAGTGCTCTAACACTGAAACCACATCATCCCTTTTTGCTTTGGTTTATTTTTCAGATAGAGTCTCATGATTTTTACCCAGGGCTGGCTCCAAACCAGAATCCTTCTACCTTCATCTCCCACAGGTGGGATTACAGGCATGTATCAACACCCCTGGGACCACAACTCAAAATTCTAACATGACTTGTAATCACTACAAGATAATGGGAAAGCTTAGCTGACTGCCCAATATTCTTCTCAAGAAGTTTTGATCTCTACTCATCTTGTTATCAAAAGTACATTTAATACTCTTTATCCATTTTCTACATGTATGACTACAATAGCAGTTATCTTCATTATTTCTTCATTTTATAGTCTCTCAGTTCACTGTGGTTGACTATACCACAGTAAAGTGTAAGTTTAATTGATATTAATGTGGCTTTCTAAATGCCTTTGTCCCGTATTTTGAAAAATCACTAAGCCTCTGACAAGGTCATCACTTTTATTGGACTTTAGAGAGGAAAGTATATGCTGCTACAGTAGTATTTGCAAAATTTGAAATTTGCAAAAATCTTCAACATATCTTTTAAATACTAATATCTAATGCATACTTGCACAAAAGCTTGCATGCACACTGTATCTGTGCCAGTGACGGCGACAGATCCTAACATCTCACAAGCATGCAATAAGAAAACTGCTCATGGGCTAGTGCAGTGGCTCAAGTAATAAGAGTGCCTGCCCAGCAAGTGTGAGGCACTGAGTTCAAACCTTAGTACTGCAAAATAAATAAATAAAAAAGTTTAGGAAGAAAACTCCAGAACCCTTGCACGACATGCATAAGGCCCAGGATTTGATCCCCTGCACAGAAAGGGGAAAAAAAAAATATTCACACATATATACATATTGTTTGTATGTGTGTGCACACACACTATCAGACAAAAGTTTAGCACTCCAACAGTTTAAAAAATGTCCTAGGGTTCAAACTTACTTTAATATCACCAGCTTATAAAGAATAACCATAGACTCTTAAGTGGTCTTATTACCCTCTGTAAAATGACTCTTAGGTAATCAGACATTTTCAAAATTCCTTACACTGTAACAGAAGTAATCTATTTAAATCTCAAATCTGATAATATGCCCTCAATTTTTCTCCTCTGTGGTATTTTGAAAATTTTCAACCACAGAAATGTTGAATTAACATAGTGAACATCCCTATATCCAACAAAGAAATGGATTTTCCTATACCTTTTTGGGGGGATAGAGAACTATCCATCTATCCACAGTCACTTAAGTCTTCATGCATTAGTGCTCATATTTTTTGCTAGATTTCTTAATATTTTGCCTACATTTTTTTTCCATGCTTGTAAGGTACACTATTCTACAATTTTCTTTTTATTTGTAATATCTTCATCAGGCTTTGGTTATTAGGGTTGTGCTGGCCTCATGAAATGAGCAGAGGTATACCTTCTTTGCCTATTTTCTCAAAGTTTATGTAGGATTGATAGTATTTTCTCTTTACATACTTGATAAAATTCATTGGCAAAACTATTGCAGCCTGGAGTTCTTTTTTGTTGGTTTTATTTGTTTTCTTTCTGGGATGGAGTCTCGCTATGTCACACAGGCTGGCCTCAAACCTCCAGGCTCAAGCAATCCTCCCCAGCTCTTGGATTAGCTCTAAGGTGGAAGGAACATAGAAAATGAGCAGGATTGAAAATGCCATTTTGTCTAGAGCACAGAGATCTGGAAAGAATGGCTCAAGCCTAGGTAGTACACATTACCAAAGATAATATCAAGTGAGCCTTGTAAGGCCTTTTAAATATTTTGGTTATTTATTTTACAGTGCTACAGATTGAACCCAAGCCTTCATGCATACCAGGTAAGCACCCTGAGCTATATCTCAGCTCCAATTTTTTTTTTAAATTCATATGTGCATATAATGTTTAGGTCATTTCTCCCCCTTTCCCCCCCACCCCCTAAGCTCTAATATTTTAAAGTTGGATGTAACTAAAATGTTTTTACTTTTTTATTATTTTGTTTGAAACAACCACATTTTGCTTTATTAAGCCATTCCATGGTAATAACAGTTCTTTTTATTTATTATTTTAATTTTATTTATTTTATTAATAAAATTAATTTTATTTAATTTATATTTTAATTATTTATTTTAACCTTTTTTGTGGTACTGAGGTTTGAACTCACGGGCTACACCTTGAGCCACTGTACCAACCCTCTTTTGTGATGGTTTTTTTTTGAGATAGGGTCTCGTGAACTATTTGCTGAGAGATCCTCCTGATCTCTGCTTACTGAGTACCTAGGATTACATGCATGAGCTACTGGCACCCAGCTCTTAACACAGAGCTCTTAAGGAATAACAGAT